ACCGGTGGCTCGCTACGCCGGTGCTTGGGGCATCCCCGTGCTGACGGCGGGCGGCCAAGCCGACGCCTTCCGCCACAAGGACGAGCACTACCCCACCCTGACGCGCATGATGGGCTCGCACAGGCTCGTCGGCGAGGCGCTCCAGCACATACTCCAGGGCTTCGGCTGGAAGGTCGCCGCTCTGCTCTACCACAATCACGCCATGGCCAGCAGCCGCGGCATGTCCAAGTGCCACTTCACCCTGGGCGCCGTCTACACGGCCCTCAATCAGACCTCCACCTACAAGAGCTTCAATCAGGAGGCGACCACCGCCGAGGATTACAAGGAACTACTGACGTTCGTCTCGAGTATCGCGCGAAGTAAGTGCTGACGCCGTGCTGCACCGGCGCGCAACCTTTTGTTTTTCAGGCGCCTGCTGTGTGTTTCCTGCTGCCTCGAGCTGCGGTAACTACGTTATTTTTGTATCGCTGACTCTTGCCTGCACCACTTTTCTTTTTTGCTTTTCTTACGCGCGCAACGCACAAAAGCGAACGACTAACTTTTTCAGTTGATTTTCAGTTTTAATAACTTGGACTCGGCGAGCGATTTACTTTTTGAGTTGTTACTCGAGTCAAGCAAGAGGAAAACTCGTAGATTAACTGTCGAGGACTCGACTTTTCTCGCCGACTGCTGATATTCCAAGTACCTTTAAAATTCTGAGGCATTATTGTTTCGAATGAGGCAAGGCAGATGATGCACGCCCCGACGAACTCAAACTTTCGGGCGCATAGAATTTATGGCAAGGTGATATCTGAAAAATTGACTTGAGATTTCGCACTCATCTGCCCGTGGAAGACGTAAAAATGCGCACATTTTATAAACCCACCGAGTGTGTATTATTGCCATCAGTGCCGCGCAATTTTCCTTTTCGCCAACGCCGCGACTGATGGATCGCCTTTTGGTAGATTTTTCATCCACGCGTGCAACTCGAGGGAGGACACCATCAAAGTAACCTGCAGCGAGTCGAGTGAATTTTTTTCTTCTTCCCGCGCCTCGTGCGCAGCAGCAGCAGCAGCTCACAGGAGAAAAAATGCTTTTCACCTGAGCTTGGACCGAGATTATGCTGCCGACGACTTGCGCGCGACCTTTGTGTCTTGCACGATGGAATGGAGAAAGAAACTTTTTTATGCAGTGTAGCCTTTAATGTCCTGAATTTTCATGCGGCACTAAAAGTGACGTTTTTTTTTGCTCAAGAATTTAGTGCTCGCGAGTATAAAGAAGATTAGACTAGATAATCTGTACAACAAAAAAGTGGCATCCTTAAAAAAGGATTACCTCAAACGTATCACCAATTTTCTTCCTCTCCTAGCAAGATGCTATTAGAAAACGAAGCTTTATGCTTTCTCTTGCCTCGAAAAAGTTGCAAGGGAAAACAATTTCCACCCGTGCGGCTGATCAGAAATTTTCTTCCTTCGGGTAAAAGAAGTTTCAATGACGCGGCGTGCAAACTTTAGTTAGCCCTTACATGCACGCTCGAAAAGAAATAAGCGACTTTGTTTCGTACGAGTATTTGCACGTAACTCGTGCAGCGTATATATATGTAGTGGTAAGGATCGAGGCTCAGAACCTCCGAAACATTCCCTTCTTCTACATGTTTGTCTGAATAATTCAAGTGGAGTACGTACGCCAGCGTGTGTATATCTGCAAGAATATTTACCGAATGTCTAATGCGTGTTTGCTCTGCCGAGCGCTGCGTCGCTGGCTTTCGGTAGGGTAGTAAGGAAATTAACCGCGAATCGTCGTCGTCGTCGTCGTCGTCGTCGCAGTTCATTTGCAACGATTAAGGTTGCTCGGTATAGAGAGAAAATCGATGTAAGCTCGAGAAAAAAATAAAACCAGCAGCCCCGCAACAGATCGAGCAGAGCACAGCAGCGAGCCGAAGCTCGCCGTAAGGCTAACTAAGGCAGCTTAAATACATCTTCGGGCCCGGCAACGGCGCAAGCTCGTAAATTCATTAATAAGAAAATCCATCTTATCGCCTCCGTATACACAGTTTCATTTTAATAGACCTGCTGCTGATTGTATGCAGTGGTACGTATAGAGCGAGACTTTATATAGCGTGTCACACGCGTATATATATAATATGTGTACAGCTCGGCAAACATACATATTTCGATTCGCGTGTGTTTTGCTGCGCTGCTCGTGACAGATCGTAAAATTGTTGGCGCGCGCGCGCGCGTACGATATATCGTTATACACGGGGGCTGCTGTTACTCCTCCTCCCGCCTGCCCCAACTCCCTCCCTTCTCTTCCTCGCACTCTTCCGTAAGCTGTCACCTCTGCCAAGTTATTATTGGAAAACACGCGTGGGCGGCGATAATTTCACGAGCATCGATAATGAAGCGGACGCACATTATTCTTTAATTCGTCCGATTGTTTTGCGGCGTGTTGACATACGAATCGTCGATGTATTCATCAAACGCTAATTGTCAAAGTTTGCCGCTTTTCCACGCCGCACGAAGCTATTATTATATCGCTGGGCTCGAACCTACAGATCTTGCCATTCAGCAATTTTTAGATAATGCAGCAGATATTTGCAGCCATTTTTGAGCTCATACACAGCCTACGCTGTTTTCCTTTTACTTCCTTTCTTATTCGGCTTGTTTTTTCTCTCCCCTATATATAGTTCTCTCGTCGCTGCACAGCTCGCAAAAAAAATACCACAGCGAGCTCTAACAAAACCACCTACGGCTATCGATATACGGAAGTGCGGCACGCGGAGCTTTTTCCGTAAACAGCAGTGCCGAGAAAAGAGTTTAATTATCAGTAGGCGGGCGGAATTGGATCGAAGAGATGTCTCGCGTGCGTAAATATCTAAAAATAATTGCAGCTCCACTCGCGACGAATATTCTCATCATATTTCATGCGTGGGTTTCGGTGACGAGAAAATAAATAAAACGCGCAGGGCGCGGAACTGCAAAATTGTGTGTGTATACGTGTATGTGCGTGTGGAGCGAAAAACGCGTCTCCGGGAATACGTATGCAGTTTGTCTCGAATCGAAGCTTTCGCGAGACATACATAAGTCGTAAAGTACGAAATTGGAAACTCGTTTTCAACGACGGCCACTGAATGAAATTCAACTGTACTGGTCAATTTTATGTGCTATCGCGCGCTGCCTCGTAGCATATCTGCTGCCGCTTTTTTTATACCACTATAGAATTTTCGAAAAAGCAAAACTTTAATTTTACCCAAGTTATCCAAATTGTATCTTTCCTAAAAAAAGCTAGCTCGTAATATCGCATATTTACTTCTTGGGCAGTCTGCCTTTGTGCTGCGACTGGCATTAAAAAAAGCTCACGTTGGCGCACACATGCGATTGTGTATAGTATTATCGGGAACGACTAGCGGAGGTGGTGGCTGTATAGCATAGAGTCGATCCAGTCCATATAATGGCAGCTCAACCGAGTACATACGTATATATACGTGGCGCGCGACTATACTTATCTTTCGCACTCCATATCATAACAATAAGCAATAAACAGGACCGATCTATAGTACCGAAGCATGTGGCGCGCGCTGAGGAAATAGAAATTCAATTTTACACATCACACACGGGGGTACGAACATCCATGTCTATACGATCAAGACGCCGGTGACGACGAGAAAATGGAATTTTGCATCGCGCGTTCATCGGGGCTTTTCTCCGTATATATCTATACAGGCTGCACGTAAGGCAGCGCCTCGCTAATCGCACTCGCGAGACTGACTCGACACGTCAAGGCCGCTGCGTACAGCGACGCTGCTGCACTGCACTTTTGCCTCGGCTCGCATGCACGACGGAGCAGCAGCAGCAGCAGCTTCTCGTACTTGGACGGAAATTCTGAGCTTCGGGCTATGCGAGAAGCTCAAGTTTCCACACTTTCTTTCTTTTCCCGCGTGTGTACCCCCAAAGAAAAAAGGAACACACTTTTCTCGAAAGAGTACTTGCGGCTAAGAGAAACACAAAACTTTGTGCCCGCTCGTGCATAATTAACTGATTAGCGCTGCTGCGAATCGAGATTTTTCTCCAGCTAATTTGGAGCTTTTTCGGAAGCCCAAGGGGGAGAGGGGCCACCAATTGGGAACTTTTAAAAGAAGCTGATCTTGCGAATCGCAAGCGTAGACATTAGCAATGCATGATAAGCGTGGATATCGTATACGCATGCAAACGCTACGAGGTTCGACGAGATGCAGCGGCTTTGGTGGTTTGATTGATGAAATACCGCGAGCTCGGTGAACTTTGCCCGGTGGCAGGTATATTAGCCTGAGGTGCCGATGCTGCTGCTATTGGTGCTGCTTGGGGTACTGCCCAGTAATTCGATTGACGCTCGCTTTTCTCTCTATGCAGTTCGCGTGCACGAAGGTGCGCGCAGCAGATGATCGATACTTGCACGAGCTTTCTTCGATCCAAGAGATCCTGCGATGAATAATTTGATACATTGCACAACCTTGTACTTTTTTTCGCATTACATAATTCTCTCTTGTTATTTTTTCGTTATTCAACCTTTTTTATGAAAAAAAACTCGAACATCAAGCTTACAATGAAACCCTTCGTACTCACTATCAACTGTCAATTTTATACCTTGTAAATCAATCAAATGTTTTTTCATATACGTTGTTTTACAACACGATGAAATTTTCCCCCATTGATGGGTATGACTAAGAAATACGATTTAATTTTAGCTTGATACGTGCGCTGCGATAAATCCGGTCGTTGTTTCGAGCGACTTGGACTTTTCCCATCCGTCCAAGTAAGAGACTTTTTTCTTGGATGCGCGCGACGCACGTACCCAAAGCAAATCAAGCGTGCCGAATTGAAATTCTTTCAGCTAGGCACGGATAAGTATCGATGACGATCCCTCGTGCACTCGTGCCGCTCGAGTGAAAAGTCGACTACCACAATATATATATCGAGTAAAAGATATATACGTATATAAATATATTTCTTTAATGGATCTGCTTTTTCTTTCATTTTTTTCAGTCGTCGTGATGTGCGCCAACTCGACGACCATCCGTGAGATTCTCCTGGCCGCAGAGGAGCTGGGCATGGTCGACTCCGGCGAGTACGTGTTCTTCTCCATCGAGCTGACGACCAGGTAGAGTATATGAGCTCGACCAAAAACTTGCGAGTGTATAAACGCCGCGTCGTACGATCCATTAACGCGCGACACACCGCATGCAATGTATATTCGATCGCTATATTCGGGTGCTGCTTTGCGGCTTTATCAGGCTTCGTTATCGACATTGATGACTACATAAGCAGAAATTAATTTCCTCCCCCCCCCCCCCCCCCCCCCCCCCCCCNCTCTCGTACTGCACGCGTCGACCATATATTCGAACAATTCGATCCGTCGATTTATGTACCTTCGGATCTTTCGTTGTATTGGTGCGCGTGTTTGTCATGAATAGATATATATGTGCGTGCGCCACAGCCTGGGTGCTCGCTTGCTCTTGATTAGCTCATCGCCTCGCAGCTGATATTGCTTGTTCCGCGCGCTGTTTTCATCGATACGTACATGGCATCCCGGCCTGTGTCTATGCGTGCGTCTGTTAGCTTCTATATATAAGCTTTGAATTGTGTGTGGCATGTTACTTGCCGATGAGCATATAGACTGCGCACACCATCCAAGACTCGAGAATTATTATTGCTATTATCAATATTACGTCCGGGGAGATTCTATAAATTATTGACAATTCGTGAAACCTTCTGTTTAACGCGAGAGGAGAGAAACATCCTTGCACGCGCCTTTCAGCTTCTCAAGATGCTCGTATAAATTGTGTACATACCATAGCCCCGTTCTCGGCTGACTAAACTTTGTTTACTCGTTTTGGCGCACTGCAGCTAGCTCCTCCTCCTCCTCCTCCTCCTCTTGATGTGTCACTGGCATCGTCAACAAGCCGTAAACAGTCTCGATCGCAATGCTGTGTACACGCGGAGGACGATCGAAAACAATCGGCCGAGGCTACTTCTGCATCCGGCTTTTGACGTCCGAGCGCGCGCAATCTCCCTCGGAAATTCGGCCAGCCAGCTATTCTGCCACGGACGCGTTTCCTTCTCCGAGGTCCGAGGCCGAGTCCTTTCTTAACTAGTTTGAATTAACTCGAGAGCTTGCGAGAATTTCGTTTGTTCAATTTTTCAGCGCGGAAATATAGAAAAGAAAAGTTTTTCCTCGCTCAAAACTCGCATGCACGCATACACATACGGGAAAGCCGAGTGAGTATAAGTGAGAGAGCAGTGCCAAGAAATCAGACTACCGTGAGAATTCGACCGGTTAACTCGGGCGTGCGCGGGGATGAAAAAAAGCTGCCATGCTCCCGCGTCTTGAACAATTTTTTATTTTCCACGCGAGTGAAAGCGAGTCGAGTTTCTTCCAGGGCAAAGGGATATGAAATTTTTAATAGCCAGGCCAAACAAATTTACCTCGGAACTTTAATTGCTCGACAGGACTTTACTTATTAATGCGATCGCGGATTTTTTTTTTTCTGAACTCAAGTTTCGTACACACGACATACGCCCAGCAAAGCTCGAGTTTCCTTGAAAGGGATTTTTTTCACCCCGCAAACATATAGATTTCTCACGCGTCTACTCTTTGTAAGTCAGACACTCGTCTATTTTACCCGTATGCGGATCACACGTTTCGCGGCATAAACGTATACGCTACTTGGTATACATATAAGCAGTGTTGGTGGAAACACGCGCAGCTACTTATGCATTCAATGCTCGCGTCTTTCTTTTTTTTTCACAACCCTCGCGCCGTGCGAGTGTGTAGGGTGTACGTTAACATTTATTTTGCCCTGTTATTTTAAAGGCTGAAGCTTTATGAGATTAGCCTGTACTTACCTCTCCACCTCGAGAGTTTGAAATATTCTTCCTCGCTCTGTTCTTTATTCTATTCTTAATTTTTGATGAGCAGCGGGGATCGCCCTGTATCATACACGAAAGCTTACCGTACCGAATTGAAAATATGATTCTTTTAAGTCGATATATTATGGCCCTGAACTTTCATCAATCGCAGTACTCGCTGGTGTACACGTCCGATACTTCTCGAAGCAAATGATTGGAAATTATAAAGTTGCATTTAGTTTTGAAGCTCCGGCTCGATCTTTGCTGCCGGGGAGATTAACTACGAAGAAGTACTACGAGCGAAAGATGATAAAAAGTAAATTTTTTACGATTGCACGATGTAATTTCTGTAGCTTTGAGAGTAGGCAAAGTTTCCTCGTTTGCGCGCCTGCAACAACTGCTTCGTAAGCAGCGAGATATACATCGCCCCTGTCTTGCTCAATATTCGCGAGCTTTAAATCTCGGCGGCGTTGCTCAGGCTCGCGTAATATACGTGCAGCGCGCGGCGAATTGCCCGCAGCACATACATTTAAGTCGCGGTGTTGCATTACCGCACCCTTGACTGCAAACGCATGCATGTATGTATGTCGCAGCGACAACAACACAAAGGAGCCGTGGCGCGTGGAGGGCGACACCGAGGCCAGAAACGAGAAGGCCCGCAAGGCGTACCAGGCGCTGCTGACCGTGACGACTCGCACCCCGGACAACCAGGAGTACCACAACTTTTCGCGCGACGTCAAGCAGCTGGCCCAGGAGCGCTACAACTTCACCTTCGGCAACAGCTCGGTGTCGACCTTCGTCACGGCCTTCTACGACGCGGTGCTGCTCTACGCCCTGGCGCTGCGCGAGAGCCTGCCCGACAAGCCCGCCGAGGTCAATCTCGACGGCAGCAACCTCACCAGGCGCATGTGGGGACGTAGCTTTAAGGGTTCGTATGCCGCCGGAGAAAGAGAGCGAGAGGATTAAATACCATGTAAGGGCACTTTGCAATTGCGACTCCTTTTGCAGGTATAACCGGCGATGTCAATATTGACGAGAACGGTGATCGTATAGCCGATTACTCTCTGCTCGACATGAATCCCAAAACTTCCAAGTTTGAGGTATGCTTCTCACTCTCCCTCTCTCTCTCTCTCTCTCTCTCTCTCCTACTCTCTTCCTCCCACGATCCTTTAGATGTTTGTGCTGTATACGTTGCCTATATTGGAGCATTAATTTTCGAGTGCAATTATTAGTTCGACGACGCACCTCGGAGCTCGCGCGCGCGCACGATGGATTAAAAGAGAGCCGCTTCTGCTGAAACTCTCTCTCTCTCTCTTACTAATTATTATTTTCGAAACTGGCAGAACTTTCCTTGCTCGCTTCGTAATGTTATTGCGCGTTTATTATTGCTTTTTCAAAAGTCTATCGAGTAATTTTGCGCTCTCTCTCACTCTCTCTATCTCTCTCTCTCACTCTTGCTACATCATTGAAGAGATACAGCTAATATAAGATAATGTGCTACGCTATAACATGAATGGTATCGATTGTTTGATTAAGCGCGACTATTGCTTGTTTACGATTAATCGAGTTAATAATGGTATACGTAATTCTCGAGTGGCAATCAATCGAGCTTACCGTTTTACATTTTTAAAATAGAAACTTTTTTCAATTCAACGCGAGAACAATTTTTGAAGCCACACATTAGCTCTATCATTCGTTTTTGTTTTCGTACACGTAGCACGTACGGTTCCCGTTCATTTCGTTTGCGAGTACGATCGAGAAAGTCGCGTTGAATATTTTCATTTCATCCTCTCTTGAACCGTCAATTATAGATTGTTGCAAACTACTACGGAGCTAACAAGACACTGGAGTACATACCGGGTAAAAGGATACACTGGTCGGGCGATCGGCTCGAGCCACCACCGGATACGCCGACCTGCGGTTTCGACGGATCGCTTTGCCCGGATAATTGTGAGTTGCAACTTCTCTCTTTGTGAGTGTGTGTAAGTGTGTGTGTATGTGTGAGTGTACTACTATTTAAGCCGTCGTCGAGTGCTGTCAATTATTTTTTATTTGCATTTTATTTTCGATAAAAAAGTTTTTCAGTGGGCGGGCTGCCGATTAATTCATTTCGGGACTAAAGCTTTCGTAGCAACACAAATATTTCATTCTTTATTATCAAGATTATTCCGATGAATATACATATTTTGTAAAATATTATCGCTGCCGTATTAATTGAAACGAAAACAATGAAAAAATAAAAGATTGTATGAAAAAAGCGAGTTACAGCCCGACGCTGCGTGTCTGGCACTCTCTCTTTGACTAGGCGCGGGCAAATGGAGATTAATCGAATTACCGACACCTACGTGCTATATAGGCACTCACAAGCCTCGCGAATCAATAATATGATTCGTGCGTGTAACGTTTGTTTCATCCCCGTTTTAGCACTGCCGGGCTACGCCATACTCTCCATTGTACTCAGCTCGATCGTCGTCTTTCTCGTCGTTGCCGCGGTCTTCATACACAGGTAAGCCTTTACTTCTTTTCTTTCTTTTTTTTTTATTTGTTAGCGATGCACTTCACGACTTTGAATTTTTTATGCTCCAGCGAGATGTAAAATAGAGACTTGAAATAGAAGGTGAATTTTGTCCCTTACTGGCACGCGAGCATGTACGGCTGCAGAACGAGACTATACTACTTGCGTCTAGCCGGCGACTTCGTTTTTTCCTTAGCTTTCTCTCTCTCTTTCTCTCTCTCATTTCGCTCCTTTTTCCTCTCTGTTTCTCTCTCCTTTATACGGCGTGGTTGGAATACCATGGGTTTCACGACGTGAAACTTTTTTATTTTTTTAAACCTCGATGTCAAATCCTTCCGTCGATCGATCGAAATCAGAGAAAAGGGAATAATGGAAATTGCTTTTCACGGCGTTTGGAGGGTTAGTTGTAAAACTGATTTATATACGACATGAACAGCTTTTCAAATTTTCCAGCTAGAATATTCTATAATATATGTTTTGAGCAACATAATATTCACACTTATCATCGCGTGCATCCGTAAAACGTTTCGACGTGAAATATATGTTATCAAGATGTTTGACCCGGCATACTTTGCTCGATCGAACAATCTTTTCTATGTTTTCGGCGCGCTCATATAATCGAGTTCCAAACCCTTGAGAATTAACTATTGTTCTCTCACTTTCTTATCCAACGCGCTCACGGGCTTTTAAGAGCTACGAGAGTAAGAGAGAGAGTCAAAGTAATTTACATTTCAGCCGAACTGCACGAGATGGTGCGCATCCGATAACATTAAACCACTCGGCTTGAAAATAAATGGCCAAGGGTTAAAAATTTCGTTAATTTGATTCGGCTCTAATGCACACATGGCAAGTCGTCCGCATATAGCTTTGAATTTTACTTTTTATACATGGGCTAGGCCGCGAAGGATCGTTATCCGCTGACCATTGTTATAAACCTCAGCCCCTTTCTCGAATAAACTATAATAATTCGAGCTTGTCCGTTTTACGGTCGAGGATTTACGAGAAGAGTTGCGTGCTTCTGTATATATAGCTTCGTATACAACACACTGCTATACACATGCAGCACGATAGAAGCGTGTAATATACGTTGTCTCGTAGCTGCTCCCATATCTTGACTCTTGTATTTATTTTATATAGTATGTTGATGTACGAGTTTATACAGCGTATTACGTTGACGTGACTATTTAAATTTTTGAGGTCTTCATGCTGTTGTATCGCTTTTGATCAAATAGATAAAAAAATTTTAACGACTTTTCAAGACATCATTGCTTTGCGTGCGAAATTCCAAAGAGAACATTATTTTCAACTAAATTCAGTCCTCCCCAGTTAATAAAGATACTTAACTCGTTGAATCCGAGAAATTTGCACTTTGCTTTGAAATTTTTTTATTAATGCAATAATTCATAAGTTGTATCATTATTAGCACGTTAATAAGACTCGAAGGCGACGCTCTGACGAGACATCATGATTTATAGTTCAGTTGAGAAAGAACTCGAATGTACTTTTTCATCTTTTTGAATTATTACGGTTTTAAAAAAATGTACTGCCAAATTTAATAAGAAATAATCGATGTGTCCAGAATATAGTATTATAGTTGCGTTTTTACATTTATTATTTTACAAACTAAATAAATAATCTTGATTTCTTAAGCTTTGTACATTTTCCAACTTTACCAAATACTTATTAACTCGTTAAATGTACATCTTGGAATCTTCATTGCATTAATGAAAATTTCAATTACAATATGTTGCTTATGAAAAAGCAATAAAAAAAATTAGCTCTTGAAAATTTTGAATTACTATTTGAAGAATGTTGATGGAAATGTAACAACCCAATCGATGTCAATATTTTTAAATTAAATAATAATAATTTAAAGAAATATTAAAAAATATCTTGCACGGATGTACTTTAACTTAGTACTCATTAAAAATATTCTCCAAGAAATGTATCGTTTTTAGCAAAAAATACTATTGAAAATACATTTTATAAAATAAATTAACAACTATGAAAATTATTGATGTCTACTGGAGCATGGAAATTATCCTCGATGATACCTCATTCATAAAATGTCGTTATAACTAGATTAATATTTTGCATTAAAATATCTAGATATTTATTCCGATTATTTTTTTTATTATACTTCATTATCTCTATTTATTGTTTGGACCAATCCTATGTACGGGCGTTATCGCTGTCTGTAGGTCCTTTTCTGTATGATTTTTGTACTGAGAAGGCGTAATTGGCAAATATATTATTACTATTATTATTATTATTATTATTATACACGGACTTTCTTAGTACAACATTTATTAAGCATGTTGCTCCCAAAGCAGGTTTCTTTGACTGCTCTTACAATGAACTGTACAATTATATTCATCAAAAGAAAGCAAAGTTCATTTGACGATGGATAAACTTGTACACTTTTATTGAAATTTATCAATGTGATGCAATTCAAAATTATTCTCTAATTGCTTCTCATCGATAGTTTTGCCGCGTAAAATCCCATTACAATAAATTGGTGCGAGTCCATTATTAAATAAGACGTTCATTGGATCGAAGTACAGTTAAAGTGTCGTTTTTAATTATTATTGAGTGTAATCGATGGTGATGTAACTTGATCGCAGCGGAAAGTTCATGAAATAAGTGCTGTGCGCGATAGGTAGTTAAAAAGCGACTTTTATCACATTTTATCTAGATTCATAATTGAAGATATATAAATTTCAATTTTAGTATGTGGTGAGCAAAAATTTTGTTTGCGTAGGCAACTTTGTCAGAAAATTCGTGAAATAAATCCAGTTCCCTTTTACTTGGAAAAATCAATGTTTTCTCTTCCGCATGCGTGTATTTACTTCTCTATTTGAAAATTTTTTCTCTAAAAGCGGAGATTCCTTCTAGTAGCTTTTTTCATATGTATATGATATTTATCCCAAGTTCCTCCAATTTCAAATGCACAATCGTTCTTATACATGCAGGTCCATGTATCTGGGCGTTTTTGTCGGATTCGAGCACAATTATATGTGAACGTGATTGTGTGCTCTTGTGTATCTGTGAGGGTGTACATTGTACACCACATGTTTCAGAGCTTATTTGAGTAAAAATCTATGCATAGATAAGCTTTACAAATTTACATATAGTGTTCGTTAACACAGCTAGATCAGATTGTACTCCCGTTGACGATCATTTATGCTCAATTTATGTTTTATATTACTAAATAATTAATTATTTTCATTGCGATTTTATTTTGAATTTTAGCTATGTAATATTTTGCGTTTGACATTCATAGTAGGCCATGCTTATGATTACTTTCATGAGACGAACCGTTGTCTCAAAGCTTGGCAAACAGCATATTACAGTACTATGTTCATGTAATATTATTATTTTCAGAATAAAATTTGAAATTAAGCGTTGCCATATCATTACAATAATAATAGTTATTAAATGTTATTGTACCTAGTAAATGGTATATTTCCTCATGTAAACTAAATTTTCATAAATAATTCACATGTCTACAATACCAGAGTACATTGAGAGGCAAGATCTAATGGAGGGTTATCTTCAAAAGCTTTTGGTTTAGAAGAATTTTCATATAGCAGTAAAAAGCTTCTAAAATCATTGTATATAAATGTTTGTCACTGCGAAGAGCATAAATCGCGCCACGGCAATTACTTTAAGTATATATACAGCGAAGGGAAAAATTTAGAGGAAACCTTAGGTGTATCAAGCGCTCGAGAATGTAATATAGTTTATACTCACGAAATAATTCTTGGTATTTTGAGCGCGTATTCATATTATGCCTTCTTGCGAGCCCTTTTTTTCTCCCGTGTGTGCTCTTTGTTGCCAGGATTCGTCTTGGCAGGATTCTAGTCCTTTAAAAATTGAATTTTTCTACTTCTTGGTTGTCTGGCTGCTGCTGTTACTGCTGCTACTCACATCTTACCATTAGATAAAGCTCTTAGATGGAAATTTCATAAGAGGGTCGCTGCGTATACAAATCGGTTTACAAAAGGACTTTAGTTTAAAAAAAAGAGTTTTTTGTAAATTTAAAATTTGGTACTGCTTTCCTACAGTTTTAGATAAAATGTAAAAGTATATAATATGTATAAGGACCGAAATAAAAAAAAATCAACACGGTTTTGAGCTCAAATTACATATTATTTCATGCAAGCTCGAGACAAGATTACATTTTTATGGATTTTTTTGCCTATTACTTTTCAAAACGGGTAACTATGAATTTACCTCGAAAAGAAAGTTTATCTAAATTCAAAGTAAGTGTAGCGAAATATAACGAAGGCAAACTCCGAAAAACCCATCCATTTCGCAGCAAATTAATTCTTAATTTTGGGAACTTGTTTCATACTGTATTTTAATGTTAACTAAAGCTTTCGTGGTAAAGGGGAAAAAATAAGCTCGACTTGACGAGCATAAATTTCAGTTATAAGCTCTTCACGCTCTACTATAATAATACATCAATTTGCATAATCTAAACTTGTCTCTTCTTCTTCCTCTTCTTTTCATTCGAATGACAATTTGCCCTAATCAGAGAAACGAAAATTCGTCGTTGGCTTGCGTTTCTTTTGCTTTATAATCTTACCAGCGCCAGTTTAGTCCAAGATCAAACTTTTCCAATTCCTTTTCTATTTTACAAAGTTAACTAGCGTTTGATGGTTTTTAAGTATAACATATATTTTGTCTTCCGCAAAGCAATGCACATTGATACGACCTTTTTTACAGGCACTACAAACTGGAAGCGGAAATAGCCTCAATGACGTGGAAGGTGCACTGGGAGGACGTCATTGTGATACCGAACGGCAGGCTCAAAGCCGGATCCACGTACTCTTTGGCGCCCAACAAACAGCGAGGCAGTCAACTGGTAAAATTTTCCCGTGTTTATATTATGCTCGTCGGATGCGCAAAAAGTAAAGATGTCTCTTTGCATGAAAATCAAAAAGTTTTTAATAACGCGCGGCCTCGCAAATTCACAGGACACTCGCAGGAGACAAAATAATTACGAGTTCCGAAGACGCGATGTTCTCTGGCTTAATGCTCGACGACGCTATTATCGCTGTTCTCTCGTGTGTTCATTAGCTAGCCAAAGCAGGGATGGTGGGACGAACTTAAGCTGTAACATAAAACACTGTCAGCGTTGTTAATTTTAATTTAAAAACACATATTTCTCCCTATCTAAACGCTCACGGGGTAGTGTTATTCCGGAAACGCGTACGTTGTTGTGCTTGCTGCGTGGTTTAGTATCGTAAAGTGCGATAAGTCAAAAATGGTCGAGGAATTTAAAATTAATTCGAAAACGAAGAGTAAAACCGCAAAATAAATTTTTATTCAGTAAAAGGAAAAAAGAAATTTTTTTAAAACAAACTCACAAAAACCAATGCTGTATAGCATTTGAAGCACTAAACAACATAGACATTTTATCTTGGTCGCAAATTAAAATGCACATAAATGTATGGTATACGTGAATCATTTTTTGACTTATCACGCTTCACCTGATACAGTCCATATGTTATGCACATGTAAGCATGAAAAAATATAAAGTAAAGATTGTGCGTAATATTTGCCATAAATACTTTAGTCGTTCCTGAGAAAACGGAAAAAAGCAAGCGCACGAGCGCCTCGTAAACCAGACCCAAAAGAGACTCCTAGTTATCGGAATTAAAAGAAAAGTCGTTTCCTTTCGAGCTTTGTGTCCGCGAAAGATTCACGAGCATTTTACGTGAACGTGCGCGGGAAAGGGACACACTCCGATAATATCTCCGGGATGCGAGAGGACGTTACCTTATCAGGAAAACTCTGGGGCTGCTTTTTTTTACAGAGCATATATTCCGAGGATAACGTGAGTCTTCACGGCGGAGTGGACAGACGCTCCTTCATACCTACGGGCTTCTACAAAGTAAGTGTTATATATAGTCGATGTCTGCGTGTGTGTACGCGATGTCTTTTTGTGCCACGGCGGCTTTTGTTCACTTTTAAGTGATGCGCCTTTTCTCTTCCTCATCTCATGCTTCTCTTTACGTGCACGATGATAGCAAAAATAATGCTCTTAATGTCCTGGTCTTATGCAGTCTCTGCGGCTTGCTTCATTAATAGTTTTGTGCATGCATATATAAAGCCAAAGTTCATTTACTTGATCGAGTGCAAGTTTGCTTTCCGCAGTATAGTGTCTTCTTTGATCGTTGCGCTTGACCGGTGAGGATAGCGGCACCGCCGAAAGTTTCGTCTTGCACTCGAAAGTTGTGTTACGCAATCACAACAACCAAATATCGAGATATGAGAAATAGACGCTTTTTAGATATAGAACACTTTTGGAAAAATATTTTTCGTTAAAATCTTCTTTTCTGTGAATATTAGCTGGAAATTTGAGCATTGCACGTTCTCGGACATTTTTTTTGGTATTTGTATATTTTTTTGTCAAGCAAGACTGAAGCTTATGCTGCTTTTTTGCAACTATGAATATGGATGCACATAGAGCGTTGGTACGAGAGAAAGCTTATAACGCAGCCGCTGTTCCGTTCAAACAGTTGAATGCTGGGGTTAGCATATCTGCGCGCGTGTTTGTGTATCGGTAATCTGGTCACAACACGTCGGTTCTATTTTTTTTTTATTTATACTTTTATTTGTTCGTCTTTTTTACAAAAAAGCTGCAGTTACTGTTGTGTCGATCAAAGTATCTGATAATACCTTAAACATAAATATTTATGAGATATTTTTTGCAGAATATGAAAGTAGCCATTAAGCCGATTCCTGGAAATAAAGTAGATTTATCAAGGCCCCTGCTACTCGAGCTTAAGAGGGTACGCACTTATTTTTTATACCATTAAAAATGATTTCAACACAAATATATAAGCATTTGTGCGGGAGATAAATAATTTTACGACTTTATGCTCGTGTACGCACGTAACATCGCACCTGGACTACTGCGTGATGAATGTAGATGAAGGACCTGCAACACGATCATTTGGTGAAATTTTATGGAGCTTGTGTTGACTTTCCTCATTGTTGTCTGCTTACCGAATATTGTCCCAGGGGCTCGCTTCAGGTTAGTATTGCATAGTTTCATCTTACTTCTGACTCTCACTCTGACGACGCTGCGCGCAATTCGGCTAATTTACTTTTTAAATTTTTTTTTCTTTAATTTAAATTAAATATATAAATAACACCTCTAGCAAAGGAAATCTTTACTTTAAAATCTAATTATAGTTGAGAAAATGATAATTATTTCAAGTATTTTCGGGCTTGATTCCTCTACAGTGTTTCTGGAATTAAATTCCGTAGAGCAGCGCGAGAGCAAAGAGCAAGCCCACGAAATTGCTCGATGCACATTTGTATCAGGATAATACTCGTCGATTTATTCTCACAAAATAAAAAAGGAAAGCTTCGCCGGGGTAAATTACTCAAGTTATTATAGCTCTGGGTGTGAGAAGTGGAACCCCGAGCTTCGTTGCGTGCAGAGTATCGCGAGCACGACTACGTGTATTTCCCGCTGAACCCAGTCAACAATTCAATGTCGAGTTAAAACGATATAAGCCAGAAAGAAAGTAGACACAATGCTAAAAGACGAAGTTGAGCTCGTGGAAGAAAAAAAATAGAGGTAGAAAAAAGGAGGGAACGACCGAAACGAAAAAAAAAATATATAAATACAAGAGAGACGCTGAAATAAAAAGGTTGAAATGCCACTGATGTATACGCTACAGGTTTGTTCAAAAAGTTGACTGCAGAAGGACAGATGCTATCTATTTAAACAAACCTATAATTTCGTCTGAAAAACGTTTAAGACGTCATGCATAGATAGTGAAAACGAATGAATATGAAAGTATGAAATTGCGAAACAGTGGAATCGTAATATCTTATCGATTGCACATACCTGTTGACTTACGCGCTCTGAATACGAAATTTCCACACTGTTGACATTATTTCATACTTTTATCTTTCAGCGGCAGGCAATTTCCCTTCGCAATGAAATTCATATGTGTCTCAGTTCCATACGAGTTTTTGCTCATAATTTCTTCCTTTTTTTCTGCGCACTCAGGACATATTGGAAAACGGGCAGATGAAGCTCGACCGAGTGTTCCGTGGCTCATTGATCCACGATATAGTGCGCGGTATGGGCTACCTGCATGCCTCGGAGATCCGTAGCCACGGCAATCTCAAATCGACCAATTGCCTCGTGGATTCGAGATTCGTCCTCAAAATAGCGGACTTTGGACTGCACGAGCTGAGAATGCCGCATTATCTCGACCCCGAGGAGGATCGCGATAGCTACGCTTACTGGAGGAGTGAGTAGCATACATATATCTAGCGTTGAAATTATCCAAACTCGGGCGCGAGAAGAAGATTCTTTGTCATACTCGTGTGTATACGTAAAGCAACTCGACGACGACGACGACGACACCTCGTACGTTGCACGCAAGTTAGCCCAATTATCCCGAGAACTTGCCTCGGGAATGTATGTGCGACTCGATATAAATTCATGGCGCGCAGGGTTGGCTCGTGCAGCGGGTCAGACTTTGATTACAATTTAACGAGCTTGCGTATAGACGAAAACTTCTGACGTTAGATACGACGACGACGACAACGACAGCTGTCGCTGCTGCTCTCGAGCTGCCGAGGCTCTTCCTCGTGTTATAATCTTGAAAATTTGATCTTTGTTGACGTTCCAACGTGTCTGTTTTCTCGATTCACAGAGCAATTGTGGACGGCGCCGGAACTGCTGCGAATGGAGCGTCGCCCGGCCGAGGGCACCCAGAAGGCCGATGTCTACAGCTTCGCCATAATCGTGCACGAGATCGAGATGCGCCAGGGTCCGTTTTACCTCGGCCCAGGGAATCATCTTACCCCCCAGGGTAAGTGTTTTTTTTTCTTTCGTGCAGTAACGCCTGATTTTTTACCCCTTTAAATATACATATGTTTGAGACAAGAGTATCAGTGAGCCAGCCATATAGTCGATATATATGTTAGGGAAAAAAAGGCAGTAGCACATAAAGAATATTTCAAGAAACACGTCTCTGTTCCGACGTCACCGCTTGAATGTGTAAAATTTGAAGTAAATATATTTTCTTCTTATCTCAATTCTCCCTGTGCACTCTACTGTGTGTACAGTTTGAAACGCGAGAGTTTTCTTGAAAGCAAAAAGGTACAGCCACGACGCTGAACCTAGATATGTATGCATATTGTTGCTCAAGTATACACGCGGCACTCGAAAGAGTCGGAATTCAAATTCATAATGGGATATAAAATTCTGACAGATTGCGGGCGGGCGATTTTTCTGGCTCTCGAATTTAACGCTCTATCGAGAAAAAACCGAGCGAGCGTAGCATGCCACAAATGCATTACGATTTTGCGAAATTTTTTTTCTCAGAAACGAGCTTACGGATTAATTTTCTCTCTTGTATTATTCATTGTTGAATTACCCGAGTATTCTCTGCCCACAAAAAAAAAAATTTATGAATCGTAAAAAAAAAGAAAAGGAATTAAATTCAGACGTGATAAATCACTTCACGGACGGATTGGCACACGAAACAAATTTAAATTTTGCCGCGCTAAAAAGGAACGGGAAAAAAATTAATCACCTCTGACCTGAAGTGCTGAAGAGATGCGGAATTTTCTAAGGAGCGAGTATATGTATGTACCTATGCGGCTAATAAAGCGCGTGCGCGTGCATTTATAATGCGATCATGAATATTTCGCCGTGCACAATTTTTTTTCTTCATCACACTCGTGTGCGTAATTATGTGTCCAACGTGTGTTTCTGCCGTGAACAAAAAAAAAAAAAAATAAAAAATAAAAAAACTGTAAAATCCTCGAGTATGCATGTCAGACAGTCGAACTTTTGTCTCTCGCTTGGGCTGCTGTATCGTAAACAGCTGGCGTGTGCCTGGGCGCGCATATTCGGCTTGAAAAAAAAAAGTGAAAAAGAGTTGAAGAACAAACGAGTGGCCACGCGCGGGCGCGCGTACTATACAGCCAAACTTGAAATTCTCACCGTGTTGCAATACTATGTAGAGATACAAAAAATTGCTCTTTTCTATGATACTGCTCCAACTCTCTCTGGTTTCACTCTCTCTTTTCCTCTCTCTTGCTCTCTTCAGCTCCTTTATTCTCTTCTCTGCTGCTTATAACAGAAGCGGAATAAATCGCTCGAAAGCTCGAGTCTCAGCTCGACTGCCATTGGCTTCGGTTATGCAGCGTGTATATATTTGCCGAGAGTCGGAGCTATTTATGCTCATCCGGACTAATTTTCATATTGAAATTTTAGCTTAAGGCAGTCAAAGAGCTTCTGCTTTTTGCTAATGCGACTCATCCCCCGGTTGCAGTTGCAGCAAGTATTTTGTAATATCAAAGCGAAATGTCGTATTTAGAGTGCGTATGGGCCAATCGTAAAATTTGCCTTGGCATTTATTTGTGTATTATGCTTCGTAATTTTCGTGCAAATGACAATCTAGTAGTCACGGACTGAGTTTGGTCAGACGCGTTCATCTTTTCACTCTCACAATTTTTCCTGTGAGGTCGATGCACGTTTAACTGGGTGTATTCGTTCGATGTAATTAGTCATCGAGTATGCTTTGTCAAGTGTATAGTTGTTCATTCAGTTCGAAGGTCAAAATACAATTATGCCTACGCAAACCCTATCTCTCAAGCAATAGCACTTACTTGTTTTTCTCGAATATTATGATCCATCGGAGCTTATAAATTTTCGAAATTTAAAAAAAAATTATAGGCTCTAAGCCTCCTGTAGGCCCTTCTAAGAAGGAGTCTAAATAAGAGAGAGAAAAAAAAATTTCTACGAAATAAATCAACTTCCTTGAGTTATGCATGATGCACCTATTAAAAGCCAGCGAGCGTAATTTGCGTCGTACATTGAAATGCACAATGCGAATTCACATCGGCGTAAATATACAGTCGAGCGTATTTCAAGGCACAAAGTTATGACTACAAATAAGTGAAAAGAATCCCATGCATGTGCTTATGACGATGCTCCAAACGTGCCACCGGCGCTTGTGGCTGAAGTGCGCGGCGATAAACTTTTTTGCGCTACTTCTGGCACAAAACTCGCGCGCGCAAATGCAACTCCGATGCGTGTGTATGCGCGAGATGCTCTCTCGGCTTTACAGCAAGTGCAAACACGCGTACGGTATAGATACGGCGATTAACTTTTTTTGCGCGACTTTATATACAGCGACTGCGCGCGTTATTTTTTTTCCAGAGCCATAACTGCTTTGGTGGGTGCTATCAAACTTATGAATTTAAATCGCGTTCGAGTCTTTTTCGAAACGATATTCACTGCGGGGATTCGCGTTGTTTGGATCGAAGGATTTTTTTCATATTTTACTCGTAAGATTATCTGTCAATGTGTGCATAGTGTATGGGGTAGCTTCAAGCTCACAGGTAGAAACGAGAAAACTTGAACTTATCGTATAAATGCTTCTTTAACATTTTTCAAACGTACATACATACAGTATTTTATGCAAAGAATTACATAAGAATATCCGATGTGTTTACGTAAGCGTTTTTTTCATATCGAGGCAAATCTCACATCGGATTGTGCAAGACTTATGTTACGTATCAAGACTTTTATCACATCGCCAAATCAGTGGCACAAAAATTGCATTATTCTTTTGAAATAATAGTAAGACAACACTAAATCAATTTTCTATAAAGGAAGACGAGCCAGCGACGTTATCCTTGCCCAGTAGTCGAGAGTTTTATCATCGGCCGAAGCAAGAAAATGTTTTTACCGACGGAACGCTTACCAACCCTTAACTGCGCACTCTCGAAAGCTCGTGGTGTTATCTACCTCACCCGTGGCCGCAACTTCATCCCCCTGAGCTGCGATACCGATCGAGCGAGTTATCCTGTCGCGATCGAAATCGATCCAAAAAGTGGTGGGCGCGTGAAACCGGTGGTGCACAAGTGCGCACTCGAGCCGTCCCCCAGAAAAGCCGGGAAAGCTGCTTTCAGTCGAAGCTTACGCGCCTGCTGGTCCGCACACATATCCTGTATCTTTTTGCCCCGCGCCGAGTATACATAAACATCGGGTCTGCATCACACGCACCTGGAATATTTATTATTCGTATATATACAAAGTACTTGTAAAGTATTCGAGTCGAGTACATAAACTTTTTTCCGTTGAGTGCTTATAAAGTGGTGCAGTGATATCGTATAGTGCTGATTATTGCGTGTGATTTCAAAAGGTTTTTTGTGGTTTTAAAGGATTATTTTTTTAAAGTGGCGTATAGAATTTAGAGCGCGAGGCTTTATGCATTCAAGTTTATGGAAATCAAAGTTCTCTACGCATGAAATATTCAAGCGGATTAATCATTTATCTTTCTCGTTAACTACCTATTTTCCAGCGATAATATCCATCCCCAGATTCGAACTTATATTCAAATAATCGTGAATCGATATGACGCAGAATCCAATGGATACTTCAAATGAAATTGTCGTACGACTAAATTTGGTCACGTTTCGATGTATCGACCCTTGAGCTTTTCCTGCGACTCTCTGCGAGCAAAGGAGCATATAAAACTTTGCGCTCTCTAGTTTTATATCGGGCGATACATTAGAGTTCATCGAACTCGAGCGAGATCGCGAAAAGCTCTTTCAGACTTTTTTGTTTCCAGACGTTCATATCCGACGTGCATTCAACGGGCTTCGTTCTTTAAAAAAAAAAAAAAAAAAAAAATATTTACGCAGCTCTCTACCATATGCTCAAAATTGTTCAAGAATATATACTTACTTTTTGCCCAAGTCAAGTAATACGTTCCGAACTTATTTCGCGCTTCGTCGAGTTTTAGCTTTTGTCAGCGCCACACTCGCGTAAAAAGCCTTTACCGGATGTTTCGCTTTGTTGCTTGAACTACTTTTTTTTGGTCTACGGAACTAATGGAGATTTGTTTGTACAAAAAAATAAAACTCCAGTGCCGCTTTATGAAAAAAAAGAGCTGTCAATTTATCCCGCTGAAAAATGCCTTATTACATATCGACGAGCGAAAGCGCGAATTGTAGAGTAATTTATGAAGCATAAAAGTAATAATCAAACTCGAGCAGAGACATACGACGAGGTAGTAATCAAAACTTTGAGGCGAAAGTTGGACTTGCGACGCGTGATATATGATATACATTGACTCGTGTCACAGTGGCTCTATAACGAAAACTTGTGCATTGCATACGTATCGAATTATACACGTTATATATCGATTGCCTATATGCACAAGACGCACGAAAGAACGAGAAAGAAAAAAAGTTTCCAAGTATCTCTCTGCGTGTTATATGAGTTTCCTTTACCGATGCTGCTACTGCTGCCGCTATGTAGGTCGACCTCGGCCTGCACACACCGGCATCGAGCGTACAAAGGCTGAGAGAGAAGGAGAGAAGGAGAGATAGAGAGAGAGAACGAGCTTGACTTGTACACCCGCTCGTGTGTATGAGCATGTATGTCAAAGAGAAGCACACACATATTGTACCTGCACGCTGCAATGAAAAAATTCACCTGCAGAATGTTGAGAAGAAAAGGAGAGCGAGAGAGCTAGCTAGGAAGCAGGATAATTTGAATTGATGGCGTGCATTGCTTGTTTCTCCATCTCTCTTTCTCTCTGCTATGCTGCTATGCTATAAAGGTTTTCCTTCGGAAGATAGATCGCACTCTTGCACGCCTGATATTTTGCTCCCTCTCCCCCCTTTTTTTCTGGTCCTCCCTGCCGTACGTTTTCGTGTGCCGCGCGTAAAGATTTATTGTAACAAGCGTACACCTGTGCGACTTTTATTCGGTACTATTTATTCCGACGTCGATTTATCCTATAACGCGAGACAAAAAATGTCGCCCGAACTGGCCAGAAGCTTTGGCTCAAAATTAAGAAATAACTCATGATGCTCATTTGATCTCCGGCAGCTTTTGACAGCATCGTTTCCAGAACCAGTCGCGCGTGCAATATAACTACCTTTTCCTTGTTCCGACAGAAGAGAAAAGCATGCGTGTATGTGTACACTCGGGCTGCGTGCTTTATCCGTACGCGGCAGATAGCTATTAGCCGAGCTCGGCGCGCGCATACCTCACGGTATTATGTAGCGCGTGCAAAGTAAGCGCAAGCTGCGGTACGCACGTCGGCTAAATTCTCCGGCTTAGCGCATTTTTCGCGTTGTTTGAATTTTCCCGTTGTCTAAAATATAAAGAGTGCGTGAACGCGTGGCGCGACTGGAGCTGCAACGCACTCGGCTATCGCTAATGCTATCTTCGCAACAAGCCATATAAGAACACGTAGGGAACTGCGTGCGCCAGAAAATCCAGCTGCACTCGAGCGCTGGAGGAGGATAGCCGCTTAATTAGGTCATGGGAGGATAGCCGTAAATATTTTACACACGCGCTTTGTCGGGGCATTTTGTAATTAGCTGGATAATACTTTGGCGAAATGCTACGCGCAAGTAGACGAATCGCGAGAATCCAGTTGTATATTCTCGTGTAAAACGCCCTGTAGTGCAAAGCTACTCTTTCACTCGTTCTTTCCCTTCGTTATACCCAAACGATATCAAATTTATCGCTCGGGATGTTGACGTTCCTCGGAAAATATTTCGTGCATGTGTCATATAACTATGATACGGTGAATAATATCCCCTTTGACCGGTATTCGCAGTAGGGCTCCACGCAGAGCGATCTGTACTACTGCGATAAATACGTTTACGTAGCGTAATCACCGCGATAAATTTTAATGATTTTATCTCTCGCTCGTAGCAGTGGCAATTCGTCTCGTTTACGTGCACGTGCCCCACTGCCTGGTCAGCGCGATAAACATATCGAGTTAATTTTTTGCTCGACCAGAAACACGAGTTAAGCGGAATCGAGCTAGAGAAGAAAACTTGAATGCATAAAACCTGTCAAACAACTTGCGCAGGGTGTAATTTTGATGCAACCTCCGATAAAAACGCATAACAAAAAAGCCTAGAATCAGCCAAAGTAAAAAAAAATATAGTACGATGCAGCATCTAGATTCGAAGGAGAAGGACACGATCAAGATGGGTGAGCGTAGCAACGCCTCGAGCACGAGCAGCCTGGCGCTGCCCTCCCTGCAAGGGGCTAGCCCCGACGGCGGTACCAGTCCACGTCGGGCGGTCAGCCCCCTGCTCGAGGTGCGCCGACCGCACTGCACCCTCAGCTGCGATCACTGCAGCGGCTACCTCGAGGATCTTTACAAGCAGCACAGTAGGTTGACCCCCCGCTTACTTTATGGCTCGACCAAGCTTTGGGCTACATTCTTTTTTCTTCCTTTTTTTCTTTTTTTTTACGGGAAAAATATTCCACATTCTTTATTGGGTAAAAACGGCGTATAAACTTTTTACGCGCTCGTTGAGATTATCGCAGCATATTATGTGCTTCTTTTTGTGTGGATGTATGTGGTTGTATCGCAATGAAACGATCGCGCGGCGTTGGCAGACTTCGTCCTCAAAAACACGTTGCATATAAACTTCGACAGAAGTTGGATCGGACAAAAAGAAAAACAATTTGTTCGCTTGAGTAGTACGAAAACTTTTTACGATTGCCAATGAATGATTTTTCATGGACTAGTAGTACGATCGATGTACAGTCAGGCACTTGCTCCTGGGCTTTTGCGCTTATTTGCCCCGGAAAAACAATAATTGCTTTTGTATCTGGCTTGACTTCTTCGATTTCACTATTTACTTAGTCTTCGCAACTCTTATTTCTCAGAGATTTTCACCCTGTCCATCTCGACAGAATTGTAGCTTCTTTACGCATTCACGTCAGGTGTCAGTTTTCGTGTGACGAAACAAATGCGTCGTTATATTCTGGAATAACGTCAGCGCTTGAGTTACGACAGCACGTGGAAAGAAAAAGCCTTGGTATGGCTTGTGGCAGTAGTAAAAATCAGTAAACAAGCGTCAAGGGATAAAAAAAGAAGCATGCCGACCCTTTGATATTGCTGCAAAACAAATAAGGGTGTGAGATGGAAGGAGGTGTAGCTTACTATGTGGAAATTGGCGTGTATTGGACAAAGGGTAAAAAAGAGAATGAGAATATAATACGCCACTTTGAGCTGTCGATAACAAAATCGGCTGTGTTGCTTTCGAGTAGTGAATAACTATACATCGCGTTATTACACATACGCGACGTACTTTGCGTATTTAGAATAGGGAGAAAAGCTCGCAAAACATTGAAAGTTCGATAACATAGTCTCTCTCTAACACAGGATGGCGATGTCTCTGGATGTATATAATGGCAGGCACGCGTGTCTGTTTTTGATGCCTACATACTCACAAACACATTTTATGTAGGTCATGGTATTATATATTGTTCGAGAGGGCTTGAGTCGATAGTGGTAGAGTGATGGCGACGATTGAGTGGCAGCTGGGCGCCGATTTCAATGGGAGATCTTAATTTCTAGCCATAGTCTAGAATCGACCAGCATATAAATTGGAAAAGTACGTGTACGATTTTGAATTCATATCTATCATTCGGAGAAAAATTGTGCGGGGTATCGGGTCTGCAAGGATCGGTAGACACATATCGTACATTTATTATATACCACTTCGACCACGGGTTGAATTTTATCGTTTCAAGAATCAACATAAAAGAACCATTAAGTCGCATCTTTTTTATAATGCTATATTCGCGCGAGAGAGCAGTACACAATTTTTGCAAATCGTTTTGTGGGCGAACGAAAAACAAAGAAGTGAGTATTTCGGGCTCGCGATCTGAAAAGTTTTATATGTGCTGCACGTGGAAGTGTTGTTTTTTTAACGGAAAAATGGCACTGGTTTTTTTGCCGTAGCGTAATATGAATTATAGTACATCGAGGTTGATTAGCTCAACGCAACTGTACAAACAAAAAAAAACATCTTCTGGGAGTGCACTCAGTGGACAGCTTCAGTGTCGAAAGAAGAGATGTCCAAGTCACTTAGACGATGAATTTTTTTAGTCGCATCGAAGTAACCGTACATGCGACTACTTCATCTAATTTGAGGGGAAAAGTGGAAGAAGCGGTGTTTGCAGGCACGTTGCTGTGCACGCGTTACGATTCCATTAGTGGCTGCTGCTGCAGGCGTAGATACGCGATCTCGCCTGGCAAGAATTTGACGCGTCGCAAAAGCGTTAATTGATAATCAAGTGGCAGCGTTGATGACGATGAGATATGCGAGAGCTTAAGCAGGCCCTCTCGCATCGACCTACATGTGTGTACCGTAGGTACACGTCAGAGCTCATAAGCTTGTCGAAACGGTAAATTTTAACGAATCTCCATCTACGACCGGCTGACGAATATTTTATCGTTCAATCTCTCGAGTACGGATTAAGGTCGAAAATCACGCCAGACACGAGCTTCCGATCGTGAATTTTCAGGTGCAGCGGCACAGCGCGCGGGCTTGCGAGTGTGCGTGCGAGCGCACTCGTGAAAGCCGACGCGCAATTACGCCAAGAGCTGCGTGTATATGGGTGTGTGTGTAGATCGACGTCTTAACTTGTTTATGTGAATATAACTCAGTTGGATGCTCGGCTGGAGGGAATTTTGTGTGTCAAGTGTATAATGGATACACGCGCGCGAGCGAGGCTTGCATACGCGACTCGACGCACTCGGAATGAAACGAGAGCTAATAGCTCTGCCGATCCTCGTGCGCGCGGGGCTCTCTAACGATGTTATTTTTTTTTTCTTACGCAAGGGGGTAATCGTCGAGAAAACTTGAGATGGCTATAAAATTGTCATCGCTTGATTAAATAACTTCGATCGACGGCTTATAAAAAGTTTTTTCCTTACGTGACTCATGGATTCTCACTTGCTTGTTTTCTTTGCTTTCAGAAATCGTCGATGGAGTACGAAGGGGTGGTGGATCTCCGCTAAGACCTTTCGTCGATGATACTTCCGTCGACGAAGAGGTAAGTTTTTCTGAAATTTTCTGATTATCCCTCGGATTATTTCGCACTGCGACTAATCGTACACGTATGCTCGCTTCTTTCAGGTTGCTTCGCTGATAGACCGATGTTGGGGCGAGGATCCAGCAGGACGACCCGATTTCGCGGGACTCAAAGAGATCGTCCGTAAAATCAACAAGTAAGCATTCCACGAATTCTAGAAACTCGATATTACTCTCGCGCGCACAAGAGAGGGAGAGAGGCGAGTTTCACGCTTCGATCGAATGCGACCTAGTTTTTCAAAGTCGTGGGGACGAAAATAGTCATAGGTGTAAATTCGACGAAATTGGACGACTGCTCAAAGTTTTTTCCTGGAATATGACTTTCATCTCTCTTTCTCAGAAAAGGAGTGAATTATGAAAGGACCTCGGCGGAATAAAGATGAATTTTCGGTGTAATTTCTGAGAAACTTTTTTCGAGCCTCGTCGGATCCTCGTAAACTGTTATGATTTATTCATAAAAGCTTCGGAAAAGCTCGAGCGCCAGTCTTCATCGAAGTCTCGACGCCTTTTTAGCGTAAAAGTATAAAAGGAAAATAAGTAATAACACGGCACGCGTTCGGCTGTAAAATGGCTTTTAGAGCATTTAAAGTCTCGCAGCTATTCAGATAAACTCTCGCGTTCATGCCGTGAAAATTAAAGAATCTGCACGTGATTCTCATTCGTCGCTGTACTTGATAATCGACACAAGGTGCGACGCAGCTCCAAGAGCTTTCTTCGGTCGGCCGGTCAGCCACCTCTGATATTGGCATATTTCCCGCGCGCGCGCCTCGCAGCTATCGATCCGCTCTCTTCCCTGCTGCTGCTGCTGCTGCTACTGCACAAGTGCAATCCAAGCATCGTTGACGTCGTCGTCCTCTCACCTCGCTGCAGGAAAACAATATTTGAAAAAAAGATTATTGCTAGCTTGTAGAAAATGAAAAAGACATGCTAGGCGAGCGCAAAAGTTGATTTCATTCTGGCGATAAATTTTATTATTTTTTTATGCTCTCTCACTTGCATGAATTCAGCACAGTTTTTGACGAAGTTAGAATGCTATGGAAATTTCATTTTGGATTATTCGAGCCAAGTATTTTTTTTCCTTTACTAAAGCTCGCATCTGACTAAAATGAGCTATTGTCAGCTTCCTCTTTTTTTTTGAGTAGACAAATTTGAGGTGCGGCATTTCGGACTTTTCGAGAAAAGAAGAGAGGTTTTTTTCAAGCTTGGATAAACTTTTTATTTTTATCTTCCATTTATATCGATCATCTGCCTCCATTTGTAATCGGTTCATTAGCGTCATGCGCCCACGTTCGATGGAACTACGACTGAAAAGAATATATAAATCTATTCAAGCGCAATTGGGGTTATGATAATCCGTGAAAAGGAATTTCCGTTTTGATATAGATATATCTCTTATTTTATCATTCTTCAATCGTCAATTTATCGAAGGGAATGAATCGATTGAAAAGAGTCTTTCCGCAATGCATGCTTCTGTAACTCACTCTGTCTCATGTCTTTTTCAAATACATCGTTCGCGTACTCTGGCGTAGAAGTTGAAACATCCATCATTCCTTGGGCTGGATTTTGATATAGTTAAGCCCCAAAAAGTAATTATGTGGTCAATTCATACAAATGTGGGCCTTTTATATGATCTCTGGAACATGCCTCATTTTCAGTGCCTCTGACAAAGGAGACCAGCTTTACGACGCTTAAGTGACTCCTATCCGACGTCCTGCGTAATTCAATTTTGGCCCTTTCGTCTAGGCTCAAAGCAAAAGTTCCCTCGTAGCTCGTGCAATTGCCCTACAAGGCTTAAATTTATTATATCTCGTAAAATTAAAAGAACGATTTAGCGCTCGAGCTCGCGTATCCGTCATTAATCAGTCGGAATTATGCAAGCTCACTCGAAATGAAAACACGCTACACCGTGCGGCGCACACAAAGCTTATATACACGGCAAACTTTGCAGCTAAATCTTATCTCTGTGGCGCGCGCGAGAAGCTTTTGAATATTTAGCTAAATTACGTATAAACAAGTTGGAAAGTTAGTCACGAATTGTTTTTATAAACGCAGCGCTGCCGCTCGCCGCCAAGATAAAACCGTGTGCGCACCGAGGAGCAGACGCACGCACAAAGGAGCGAGCTTCCGCGCGGAAAAAGTTTGTTTACAGCTCTGGAGGCATTCCGAGCGGTCGGAGTCTTTCTCTCTCTCTCGTAAACGAATGCACATGCTCACGCACGAGCTCCAATTCCAGTGCATTACATATAAACCCGTGCAGTGCACATTCGTGTGTGTGCCTTTGCAGCTATGCAGTATAGTGTATACGAGCCATTAGCGTCGCTGCGCGCTCTATGGCAGCAGCAGCAGTAGCAGCGTCTTTTCCAAGCCCGAGGCTTTGACCGCGTGCATGTGTGTGCGAGCGACTCTCCCTTCGCAGCTCACCGTATAGCAAGCTGCACACGTCTCTTGCTCCACTTGCCGGCTTGTAACCTCGTTTTTCCATCTCTCGTCATGCCGCTCGCGAGAGCACGTCTCGCTTCGAATGCTTTCCACGATTATCTTAGCGTGGCTGGCCCTTTGAATTCTCTAAATTTCATTGTGCACGGGATAGCTGTGATGTTATTTTCCAAAAAGTTACCAAAAAATTTTGCTCGTAAAATGTTTTCGCTATATAGATTTGTGTACGTTTACGAGGAACCTAGTAGAGATCTTCGTTGTATCACTTTTGAATTTCAGCATATGCGGGCACTTTAAATTTTACACCAACGGTTAAACTATCATTTAACCAGAGAAAAAGCTTGCCACGCTGACCATAAATGTTTCACTTTCGAATAGCGCTTTCATTACCATATGAAAGACCGCCAGTACCCAGAACACGAAAATATTTCCATGTTCTTTTTCTCGTCACCGAGTGGATATAAATTTTAGAAGGTATCCCTGCGCACGTTCGTAAACCAAACCAAAAAAAAAACATTTTATATTTTCTTGTGTTTTTTTACGATCATTTCACGGGTAGGAAATTTTATGCTCGCGAGCTTTCAAATTCAGCAGGATCGCACAGGCAATAAAAATTGTATTCACCGTGCTTGCACTTTCCGTGGTTGTTTTTTTATCTTCTGCGTTTTTTGCATATAATCCAAACAATGAGCTGCGATGAATTAGCACATGATAACGCACGAGTCCGATATCGGAGAAAGGCGAGGCCGCGACTCGTCGCTCTTTTTATTATTACGTATAGCGCTTTTGTGTTTACGATTTCTTTTGTGATGAATAATAATTACTGCTGCGTATAGATAAAACAGTGCGCGTATCTTTTCCGTCGTCCATACATACATGGGAGTCTCGCAGTCGTTTCACGGCATCGTCATCTGCTGTATATCGATTTTACGCGTATATATACGTACGAGAGAATCGAGTGCACTACATGGCGCGCGAGATCCTCCGGATTCGCTCAAAAGAGGGATTACGCGCACGCACGTGTATAATATTATAAATGAGCGACATCGTGCTGCGGAGCTCGAGTACGGCATATAGCCGTTGCATCTGCTCTAATTAAGAGTCACGCGTGTACGTGCTTATGTATCATTGCTGCGAGCTTATACGCGTATATATTTCTTCGTGAAAATACGTTCGTTTAGTGGCGCGAACTATGACACGAAACTCGATCTTTCGTCGCATAGTGTGTCGTTCAACTTGAGGAGAGGAAAAAAATGCATTTTCGGAACTGAACGACTATCGTACAAGTATCAAGGCTTGAGTAATTCCAATGATCGTGTAGTTCTCTCGTACTCTTAGTGCCAAATCTAGTGAAAAAAGGAGAGAGAGAGAGAGAGAAAAGAAAAGAGTGCAGTGGCCCGAGACTGCAGCCATTCGCGACCTATATTGCAATACTACTGATGCTGCCGCTGTACGTGTTGTATACACTCGCGCCGCCAAGAAGAAGCGACTGTAGTACTCCAAATAATAGAGACTTTTAACAACATTTCCCCCCTTTTTTCCTTTTAAACGCCTCGATACTGCTGTCGCAAGCGAGATTTTTTTAATTGACTTGCAGCATTGCCCTGATACAATGAGAAAATATTACAGCGTACAGATCGAAATAGCGTCTCTTTCGCTCTCTCTCTCTCTCTCTAATTTGCATTTCGTTCGCAGGACTCGATCAGGGAATATAATTTTTTTTGTCGATAGTAGAAATGAATATAAATCAAAGCTTGTCAGGAGTTTTGTAATAGAGGGGAAATAAAATTGACCTCTTGACTATCCTGCAGTGACGGCGTATCGGCCCTTGCTATATAATACTTGTATCTAGCAATAATGGATAATCCGATATATCTGACCTGAATTTTACCGTCTTTTTATCTCTCATTTCTCCCTCTCTCTCTTCTATCTCTTCCTACGCGCCCGAAAGTTTATTTGCACGCATTAATCATATTTGAGGAAGAACAACGGATTATGCATTTTTAAGCATTCTCATGAGAGCAGATGTGATGGTGCATCATTTTTATTTTTTTATTTATTTTTTTGCCTCCTCGACAACGCGAACCATTCTTGTCATATATCAAGCATAGTCGCGATAGGATCAAGGTATAAAAGTGACCTCAAAAGAAATACACCGCATCAATCAAGTTGTCGGTCATCCACTCGAGATATACAAGCCGCTCGTGAAATATACAAATGACTGTACACTGAACATATGCTTTTTTCTTCGCCTTATTTGAAAAAAGCGCGAAAATTTTCATTAAAAAAAAAAAAAAAAACAGAAAACGACTCACTACTGTAACAAGTTACTAATCATGTCGATGCATCAGACGGTGTAACTTTGCAGAGCAACAGCGCACAATGAAAGGAAATTGGACGTACATGAATGCTTGTTATGAGAAGTTATAACAATTGGCTTGTTATACGTCGGAAGCGAGAGGTAACTTTTCCAACCCTCAAAACCACGATCATGTTTCGTTGATCCTTTTTATTTTTCTATCAATCGCGTATAAGATGAAAATCGAGATAAACGCGTTGTAAATGCGATAGAAAATCGATAGACTCGTTGGAATTTTCAATCTTTTATTATGATTATCCGTCGTTCAATGTTGAGTAATTTTCAACGAGATTACGTTCAAAGCATTAAGAATCTCGAGGCTTGAATACCTTGAAAATGAGTTTTGTTTCGCGAAATATATTCCCTCAACACACCCAATTACTCGAGAGTTGTTGTTTCGTTTTATATTATAAATATATAAATACGTATAGGAAGGAAAGATACCCTGAAGAATTGCATCCTATATATACCATTTCCCAAGGCTACGCTCGCAAGAGAGAAAGAGCGAGAGAATAAATACTTTTCCTTCAAAATATAATAACAATCCGAACAACTACTACATCGTCTTTTTACTTTTTACGTATAATTCATGGAAAACTTTGCGCGGGTATAATATAATATACTTATTCGGCTTCGCTGTGTGGCGCATATAACAATGTGCACACGTAACTTTTTCTCGAGCAGAGCTATATAATATAGTGCGAAAGAGAGGAGCTTTTGGATCATGTAAATCGTCTCATTAGTGGGAATGGAAAGTAAACGCACTCTTGTGTGTGCTTTGCGCGTTAGGTAAGTGTGTAGCCAACCCGAGCCAAACGTATAATAATACATGCACAATAGCTGATCTGTGTCCTTGTCCAAGACACGCGTAGAAACGGGCTGAAACGCGAACAGAAGGTATATCACTATATACTTGACGCCTCGGGCACTTCTGGGGCTAGTAGATCGAATGTAATTTCTATTTTGCGCGCGAGACGCATTGCTTACATAAATAAATAAAGGCGAATGCAGCAGTAGGTAAAATTCACATTGTCAAGCACGCGTTCGAACGATCCAAAGGTGATTATAACTGAAAAATGGGGCAGGTGGGTGTAAACGCGCCGATAATGCGAGACGATAAAATATTATGCCGCGTGCAAGCCAGCGAAATCGCGCAAGGCAAAATCGTTTATCAGGCGGCATAAAATTTAATCAAGTATGAACGGCGCACGATGCTCAATAGCAGAATTTTATTTGCCTTCTTTGCTTTTTTTCTTGCAGAGACAGCCGAATTAACAATCTCTTGGACAATCTACTGTCGCGTATGGAGCACTACGCGGATAATTTGGAGAATCTCGTGGCCGAAAGGACCGCCGACTATCTCGAGGAGAAGCGCAAATGCGAGGAACTTCTCTACCAGTTGCTGCCAAAGTAAGTTTACTCTCTTTTCCTTCCAGGGCTATAAAGATCCGAGCTTTTCTTTGGGTAGCACATAGCGCAGCAAGGGAAGGGGTGACAAATGATCGGACGAACTGCTGCAACAGCAGCAGCAGCACCCCTAAGGAAATCATAGCGCCTCGTTTATTTCAAATGAAATAAAAATAACGCGCTGTGTACGAAGTCTCGATATACCGATCTTTGAGACGCGCAAAGCTCGTAAACGCAACTGCCGGCAGACACTTTTGATTCCGAATGCAACTCGCTCGCGAACTTTCCCAGCAGTGGGTCATTAATCAAGGACACGGTCCACTGTGTATGTGTGTGTGTGTGTGTGTGTGTGTGTTATATATCATTATAAAGTCTCGCGCAAACATCCCTTCGTACGCGGAAAGTTTGACCTTTGCCACCGCGAGGCACTCCATATGAAATATATATGCGCGTGTAAGGGCCATCGTATAAACGCTCGCAGCTGATGCCGTCCAGGCTGTATATATTCGTAACAAAAGCAGCCCGAGCTCGAGCGAGCAATTATATCGCGCGCTGCATCCTTAACGAGCGTGCAAAATTTGCATTTTCACGAGTGCACGTCGCGCTCGCGATGCTGTTGCAAATTTAAACTAGCGCATACCAGCCAGTCGCTGCTCCCTCGCGTCCTTTTCTTTCGTGCGCGCGGGCAAATTCTACCAGATTGCGTATCGCGCGTATGGCGTTATTATGTGTAATTAAACATAGCTTCGTTGTTAATTTATACTTGTTGAGGTTCGAAAGATCGAAATGATAGCTGCTGCTTTTTTGTTCAAATAATTCCAAGAGTCAGTGGCGAGGCAAGTGTGCGGTCAGATTCGCAATTTTTTAAAGAGCTTTTCACGACACCTCGGAAATTAAGAAATTGTGTAATTATACCTCTGATGCTTGGCTTTCTCAGTTAAATAAATTTCAAGTGGAAAAGCTTCTTTTTGAAACTTCAAGGCGCGGTATCATTGACGAATAAAACGAACGCGGTGTCTACACAGAGAGAGACGTTAAACACGAAAAGTTTAATTAACGTACTAGCTCGTGTTCGTGAAAACTCAGAATTTTTCCTCGCTCTTTCTTCTTATTTTTGTTTAAACTCGTATAATACTTTAGCTGCTGGCCCGAAGGGTAAAGAATAAAAATGAAATTTTTTTACGTTTTCTCGTTTTAGATCCGTCGCGTCTCAGCTAATACTCGGCAAGAGCGTGATCGCCGAGACCTACGACCAGGTAACAATTTATTTCAGCGACATCGTCGGTTTTACGAGCCTCTCGGCCGAAAGTACGCCACTTCAAGTCGTCGATCTTCTCAACGACCTCTACACGTGCTTCGATTCGATTATTGAAAATTTCGACGTTTATAAGGTAAGCAGTCGTTACAACGTCTCGATTGAATTTTTCCTTTGACTTTGTTCGATGCCTTCCGATTGACGATATTTCGAACTAGAGTTGAAAGAAAAGTTCGTATGTGAAAAAAAACGAAGGAAAGAAAGAAATAATTACAGCGCGTGATATTACGAAACAGCTAGGAAAGAACTCGTCAGACAATGGGCCACAATTGAAAACGAGGTCGAGAAATAAAAGCTTCTTCTGCGAACACGAAACGACGCGAGGAAGGGGAGAGGGTCGCAAAGCACTCGAGAATTTCGTCGTCACGTCTCCTCGCGCGTGTCCAGCCGCTAAAATTCGACGACGCCGCATCTATGACCGAATGCTTTACGAATTTTTGCTGCTTTTTAGAAAAATTACATTTCCTATTCCGCCAGGATATCTCGTTCTTCGGCTTTGCGTTACATAAACATGATCAATGGATATAGCCTAGTTTTCGTCGAATAAAAGTCGAGGAACGCTCGTATAATGGAATCCTGAGCTCCGCGAGCGTGCGAAAACGGAGTAGCATCATCGTTACAGAACTGTCTGCGAGGCTGGAGAATTCGCGCGTCGGTCCTGCGCTCGTATCGTTTGATGGGAAGCTGTTAATGCGCTCGAGTTATTCCTATCGCGTTTCCGATAGTGAGAACATTATAATAATGTTTTGTGTAGTCTCACTCTCGCTGTATCTATCCTTCGAATTACTTTTCTAAATCTATTTCTGCTTCTGCTTTAATTGCTGCAATATAAATTATCATTTTACATCGTATTTTGAATTTAAAGTTAAAATATAATTTTTAAAAATATACCGAAAAATGAGAATAAATGTCATGCATTTGTAATGTGTCTGATTAACAGGTGGAGACGATCGGAGACGCTTATATGGTCGTCTCGGGCCTGCCAGTGAGGAACGGCATGAACCACGCACGAGAGATTGCGCGGATGAGCCTTGCTCTCCGTGACACAGTCATGACTTTCAAAATTCGCCACAGGCCTAGCGAGCAGCTGAAACTGCGAATTGGCATGCATAGCGGTGAGTTCTCCTCTCGCTCGTTGGACTTTTTCCAATTATCCAGCTGAGCCGCGCCAGTTCAAGTCACTTATACTCGTTCATAAAAGAGTGCGGCAAACGTCTCTTGGGCATGTATATAGGTCTTCGAAACTCTTCGTGAAATCAACTTAATTAGTTTCTAATTATTGCTGTCTCTGACGACTCCCTGCGTTACAAAGTTTTTGGCATGTACTTTAACGTTCAATTGCTTCATACCCATCCACAAGTAACAAAGTCTTTTTCACAACTCTTTTTAATTAAGAAAATTTAGTAATTTTTTGATTCTGGACGAATTAGCGCTGCGCATCCGCTGATTATATTTCTTACGCATTGTTACGGCTAGAAAAAAAGTTTAATTCAATTTTTCATCTGATTAACACTCCTGTGGCCGATGCCTTTGGAGTAGCCATAGCGCTAGACTACGCGGTCTAATGAGAATTTTTCCTTCGAGCTCAAACTTATATTACATCATCAGCACTCTCCACGTAATATTAAAGAGAATCGTGAAAGCTTGTTGTGGATGCTTATTAACTAGTTGAATTTTGAAGGAGGAAAAAGTTTTTACCCCAACCTTGTAGCATAAATGAAAATAAACAATGCGAGGGAGTTAGGTTTTAAAAAAAATCCCGAGTCGACTGTAGTCAAGCATAACTGTATAATTAATGCATCATTAATATCGTCGAATTTGCTTTAAATTTATTATAATGCTCGCATAATCTACGAAGAACCAGTTTTTAAAATGTTGACTTGTTTTTTGTGATGTAATCATTATTTTTTTTACCTCGTACGTCATTTCTTTTGACGTACGTAAATTTTTTTTAGCATAGAACAGTTTATTTTGTATTATTTTTATGTTTATTTTTTAATCTGAAATTACGCATCTACATCGAGCTGAAAAATAACTAACCCACTTGCGTGCGCATTTCAGTACGAATAAAAAAAAATTTCATTACGAGGACAGTAAGCTTATTTAAACTCTTAAACATTTTAATATCATACCTTGAATGAAATTTAATTTGCATCGAGTATCCCCAAGTTAATTCTACTCTTTTATAAGGCAAACACTGTCGCTGAGCAAACAAACGGCATTGATCCCTATCTTAGTTTCTCTGACATAACAGCTATTGCAATGAGTTGGTCTATTGTTGTTACAGGTCCCTGTGTAGCAGGCGTCGTAGGCCTAAAAATGCCAAGGTACTGCCTGTTCGGTGACACGGTAAACACGGCCTCGAGGATGGAGAGCAACGGAGAGGGTGAGCGAACTATTTCATTTACAACTACTCGACTGCTATGCTATCTATGAACACGTTAACAAATAACCACTTCCAATGCAGCTTGTGACTAGAATACTTTTAGAAAATAGACTCTTTTTCGTTCAGTTTGAAGTGTGAAAGTAATGTTTTACTATTTATATTATGGGACATAAACGTGCATTTATGAAATTAACTTACAGCAATCCAAATGTAATTATATGCTTGCATGTTTAAAAACAAAGAAGGCATAACAAACGCGCTCTACAACATTAATATTTCTTTGCCATTGTTTTCGCATACATTTATACATTCTGCATTGCACTTCAATTAAAAGAAATTTTTTTTTAGCTCTAGACTCTAAATGCGATAAATGTTCATTTTTTAAAATTATTTTTGCATCCCGCTCAGATAAATTTCTCATTTATTCATCATTGAATCATCTTGAATTTTTCCCTGTTCGATTCGATGAATTGACTACTTGGGTTCGGCGTGTATAGTAGCAGTGAACATGTAGATTCTCGTCGTAAAATTATCTCTCACTTTTTTGTCGCGAGCTCTTTTATATCGCAAATTATCCCTTCGCACAGATTGCGATCATTACTATAGCTCGGCAAAGAGAATAAAGTAGGTCGAGCGACGTGGGGTAAAAAAGACATATTCAGATTTCAGGCTCTTTCATCGATGTTATACTTCATACAATGCGGTGAAAAAAGAGAGAAGGAAGCACTGCACTACACGAGTGTGGCAATTTTGTTATTTTTCAATTTGGCTTTTTTCAATTGAATTTTGTAACATCCCATTTACATGAAAAATGTATGTAGTCGAAATATAGTCGGGTAAAGATTATTTTTAAATTTCATTTATACCGTCTTCGTATACACACTTACTCAAGAGGTTGAGACACAGCTTAAGGGAAAACAATTAAAAGGTACTCGAGCGCGCGACGCTGGAAAGACTTTATTTTCTAAAAAAACTTTCCGAGAAAACTTGACTAAATAACGTGTACGAAATTGCAATTTTTCTTGTTCTTGCCAGAGAGCGAGCTCGTTTCATAGTGTTGTGCCCTCTTTTTTAACGTCCCATTTGATTGAATACTTTTTTCAAAAATCCTAAATGAATCCGTTTTAAGCTTAAAAATACAAGAACGATTGAAAGCGAGTCACCTTTTTGCTTTTGGACGAGAAAAATTTCCCGACGAAGCACTTATTTTTTCAGAGAATATTGTATCAATCTTTTACTACAGCTCCGTGGCAAATGCATCATTTGCAGTAGGGCATAAAAGTTTGATAGATAACATTGGATTATTATTTCACTGCAAATTTATTGATTGCTCGAAAATAATGAAGTTACACGTCACGTTGCGCTCGCCAGGGCCAAGAATCAAATTTTCATGAGAATGATAGAAATTGAAATTCATCTTCTTTTGATCGATTATTCTGGTCAGACAAAATTGATGAATTTGAGCAGCAATAAAAAATTGCCAATTCATTCTAATAACAACTTTTTTCAGTTTTTGTTTTATTTTGAAAAAACTAAAGCTTTTCTTTTTGATTTCGGTGCTAAGAATTCAAAGTTCATTTTTCAGATAAAGTTCGCTTTAGCTGAATCCATAACTTTTCATTGCGTTTCAATCTTTCATTTTACATAAAATTGTTTCGTTTCTCAATCGATATGTATGAAAAAATATATATTAAAAAATATATTGATAAATAGAAATGATACGCAAGCAATACGAAATTTAAAAATTGTTGTTTTGTTGGAAATGAACATTTGCTAAGCAATCTGCATTTTCATTGTTAACAGCTTTAAAAATACATGTAAGTCCGAAAACAAAGGAAATACTCGATACTTTTGGAACTTTCGATTTAATCTGCAGAGGAGAAGTCGCATTAAAGGTAAATATAAAATGACCATTCTTAATATTTTCACAATTATGTTTGTTCATGTAGTTGCCAACCATTTATCACCCCCGCTTTCATGAAAAGTAAAAAATTATGATTTTATATATTTATTTTTGGAGATTACAGTGGGATTTCAGCTTGACGTAATCTGCTTTTAATGCGGATAATAATTTAATTTTTAGCTCGACAATTTTTTTTTTCTAATCTCAAAACACGGAGAGTAGAACAATTCTGCGTCAGATTATTCTTGTCAAGCGTTTATTGCGTGCTGCCACATAAGAGCTCCCCCTCCGCAGTTTACGAGTTTGACTTTTTCCCTAGAATCAGCACGTGTCATGCTTCTTAGAAGCAAAATTCACCTTAAGGCGAATTCGCGAATCGACAAATATTACACACATATGATTTACTTTGCTGCTGATCCTCAGGGCAAAGGCACGATGATAACTTATTGGCTAAACGGCGAAAAAGTCGCGCCAGAAATGGATAATAACAATACGTCGACGACTACGACGACGGCGTCGCAGCAGCAGGTCTTGCGCAGCGCGCAGGTACCTGCGATATCGACCCCTAGGCACACTCTCTACGCGGATCAGCATCGTAACGGTGCACCTCCGGCTCTGTCGCCGTCGCATCGCAACACGAACAATCAACAACAGCAGCCACAGCAGCAGCAGCAGCAAGTTACGGCCGGCGAGAGCATGCCGAATCACAGTTCCGATGGTGGAGCGAGTGCGCCACTACTGCTGTCCGTGGCTTCCGTTCCATGAACTGTTTAACGAATGATGATTATTATGCATTTAAGACGACGACGAGTGCATGCTGTGTTTGCGCGACTATCGTGTGGTGCCGATATTATAGGTAAACTGTTTTTCCTTTAGCTTAATTATTATATGTATGGTAGAAGCATTTTTGTACCGAAATAATCATTGCCTAGAGTTGATAAATTGATGTTTCAAATCTCTCATCGTACAATATTATTCTCAAAGCTTTTCAATCTCTTTTGTACAAAGATTGATTTAGTGTACTTCGTGGAGTATGGTTGGTTACTCCACAAAGTCGTCTGTACATATTTACATGAAATATTTGCAGTTAAAAAGTAAGTTTCTATTCAGTCTACTGCGCTGCAAAGGCAATTGCAGTAGTAATTCCAATGTACGAAAAAAAAACAATTATGTTTTTTGCCTCTTCTCATTTTCTGAATGCCAAAAAAATTGAATAATTATGAATCTATACGTATATAAAATGAACAAACACCTTATTCGTCAGTATTTTTTTCTTATTCATCATCGTTTGGTAAATTAGTCAATTACGTAGGTGTATTTTAATGTCGAGTGTACAATTGTGATCGTCTCGTATTTTAAATAAACATTTTTATTCACCTGCTGTTTTCCTATCGATTTACTAAAATATTAAGAATAATCATCGGAGAGTGCATCTCGCAAGCTCCGAATAATGTTTCAAAACTCTTTTAGCTCGTAAGAATGTGGTGTAGTTCAATAATGTAGACAGATTCAAAATATATTATTCTAATTTCCATCGATCGTTAAAAAACTTATTAAACTTTTAACGATAAAAATCTTGGGAAAAAATCTGTTTGTATTTGACTATAATGTTTATGGCTGTTTGATTCTATATTCAGAGTAATTGTGGACCAGAGAGCTGATGAATCAACGTTTGCATAATATTCTCATCCAAAGATATTTAGTGTAAATTATTTAATGTTAAGAAGTAAAAACTTTTAATAAAGAAGATAAAATAATTTAATGTTATTGAAGGTACGGTTAAAGAAAAATGAGTATGCAGTACAAAAAGTGAAAGTCTAGAAAAATAATTGAAAAAAAGTACAAGGAGAAATTGTTTGGAAAAGTGCATACTTACTCATTATTTTTCTTTACATAATTTTTGAAATGATGTAAGATTTTGGTTCAATAATAATCTATGCCATTCTTGCAAGAATTATCCATGATAGTGTCGTTCTCTTAAATTGTGTACAGTCACTTGTTCTCAAAGTCAATTTTATTCATCAATATTTTTAAATTGAAACAAATACCCGTCATGAAAAAACGAGTGAACGATATTTATAAGTAATTTTACAATCATAAACGAGAGTTCTCGAACGAGACGCACATATCAAAGAGCTTCCGTTTTTTTCACGCGACAACGCGTCCGCCTTTCTATTTTTATTTCACTTTCTTGATTCTCGACGCAGTGAGTGCATCTCTTCCGTCGCGCATTTTGTCATTGTGTAACTTTTCCTTGTTAAAAAAATTTTCTCTCGCATTGCTAATTCAAATGAAAGTTTCAATTGTGTGTCGTATTTTTAGACCTTTGCGTATTTCAAAATATATGCGACTATTAAGAATGGAAAATCGCGATTTGAGTTAAATATTAGGTGCGTGGGGGCTGGATCTTCACTTGAAAAAAACTTTCGGAATTACGAATTTTTTTTGTCTTATTACGCGATATCATTTACATTCCAATCTATAATCTGTAAGTAGCTGAAATGCTTAAAAAAAAATTTTCAAAATACAAAACTAATTCAAAAAGTCAGATGAGAATGAACGGTCCAAAAAGATTACAGAGTGTGTATAAAAAAATTAATCATGTTGAAGATCGTGTGAAATATATTATATGTGGAATTTTAAGAGCACTAAAGAATTATTCCTTAACGAGTATAAAATACCAAGTCATAAAATTGTAATAATGAATGTAATAAGAAAGTTTATCAATGCATGCAAGTTTTAAAGTGTATACAATTGTTGTCGTATAATATTATACGTCATATGCAGAATAAGTGTAAATTATATGCAGAAAAAATCGGTTATTCATTAATTTTTGGTGACTTTTTTCCAAGGTTTTCCAAGAGTAAGGAATGAAAAAGATCTAAAAAAGAATAAATGGGTGCCAGCCTATGATATGCATAAAATTATGAAAATAAAGTTCCATCTTTTACGAAAACAAATTCTTTTTTAATCAAAATCACCGATCTTTGTTCGATTCCTCTTCCTAAGAATTTTCATTTTTCGTTAGACATATAATTTGAGAGAATTTCGTATTCGTTTGATTTCATAATTTTTTTATTTCAAATTTTTCTCGAAAAGATTTACGGAGCTACGAGCTAATGAAAAAACAGAATCTCTTTAAAAAACTGCATTTGCGAAGATCCAGTCGAGATAAGAATTGACACGAGTGTAAATGCCTGGCTTGTCGGGCTCGCCACAACCGATGCCCCAGGAGACGATGCCCACACTGATCCAACGCCCGTTGCTCAATTGATGCATCAGCGGTCCACCGGAGTCACCCTGTGCAATTTGGAAACGTGAAATTTAAATCGTGCGATTTATTGAATCAATGAAAAGTGTATGTCCTCTAATAAATGTTTGGACTTGATTTCTTTCTAATTAGGTGACAACAGGGGGAACTGACCTGACAAGCGTCTCCGTTACCCTCGTAAGCTCCGGCACACAAGTTTTTCTCAGTTATTTCTTGGGTAAACTTGCCAGAGCAAACATCTTGCGGCCAAATTGGAACCATTACTTCCCTGAGTACATAGCTACTGGCGCCAGCGAACGAAGTCGTGCCCCAGCCTGCACACAAAGGTATGTATTTTTTTTTATTTCTTATTTGTAACAATGACCCATATCGGAGTTACAATATAGATATATAACGCACCAATGACAGTAGCCCGTTTGTTCTCGAACACAGCTCCCGCCGGTGGTAAACATATGGGCCAAATGTACGTATTAAATATCGTTGGCTTGTGAATTTTTAGTATGGCGATGTCATCTTTGTAGGTCGTGTGCACGTAGCCGCGGTGAATGCGAATCTCGACGACTCGGAAGTCGATGGCCCGGGTCTCGTTGGGGAAGCGCAAATCGTACTCTCCTAGACGAACCTTCAGCTCTCTGGGCTTGTTTCTACAGAGACATTGGAGGATTTTGTAAAATTGTGCACGTTTTAATGTTAAAATCATAGTTAGGCTTACCTGAAAACGCAATGGGCAGCCGTGAGTACGTGTCTGTCGGTGATGAGCACGCCACCGCAAACCTGCTCGCCGCCCTTGAGAAGAGCCGCGATCCAGGGATACTCCCGCGAGCTCGTGGGTCGTCCGCCGGTCACTCGGCTCTGATCGTGGGTACTCACGCCGCATCCACGGTGCGCCCGCGAGTTTCTCGCCAGGGTGGAGTTGCGATCGTCGTCCGGCAGGACAACGGCGTCGTCTCCTTCGACTGTGGAATTTCGGGCATTATTCGTGATTGAATAATTTTTACAAGCACTCACTCGATCGAGAAAACGCTCTCGAGACTCTCGGAACGCATTCGATATTTATTTCCAGTGACTTACTCGCAATTGCAGGCAGCGATCCGGCCAATCCTCCCACGGGAAGTATGTCGTTCTGACTATCTTCGGTCTCCTCATCCGGGCAGCAGACACCAACGAACCTATCGCGCGGAAAAAGTATGCCATGTATTTGTGCATAATATAAAAGTAAATGAATTTCACTCGACTGCTCGCATTGTGCACGCGGAGAGTTTCAAATGGCGCTTACATGCATACGTGAATTTCATTTAAATTTTTTCGTTATTTTTTTTTCCTTCATAGATCTTCGTACTTGACGAAAAAATATGAGCGAGAAAAATTCGATATACGTACTCCTTTTCGATGACGCACATGTATTGCAACATGCGAGGAATATTCGTTTTGAACGACTCGTCGGGGCAGCTGGACAAGTGCCTGCAATGTCCAGGCTTGCTATCCGGGCCTATGCATGGCTGATAACTTTTGCTAGTCTGTCAAAATCGAGCCAGAAATGCGTTGAAAAAAAAAATATTGACAAAATTAATAAAAACAAAAAAATTGGTGTATAATTACCGCCAGTCGTGCCGAAGGTACTGTTTTCGCTTCTGTCGCGCGTTCGTAGCGTTTCCATAGTTCGCTCTTTGAATCTAGCATAGAAAAAGAAAAAATATTTCACACATCTAACTATGAGTATTTATTTGTGCGATATGCGTCACGCTTGATTATCATTATCAATGGGTTTTCTTGGGTATAAAATTTTTTAACCAGTCTAAATAAATTTTAAATATATTTAAGGATCAGAGCGTATAGCTTCATACGCTTTACATTCGCTTTCATTCGTGATCGCTCAATATATTTTTTCGAATGTTTTTAATGAAAGGAGACATCTCCAAGGCGCCGAGCATATACGTCAATGACAGTATAATATGAAGATTCAAAAAACCAAAGAGGTTAACCTTCGGCAGTTTGAAAGATTCGCACATCTTGATCGGTGGGCGACCTTTAAAATAGCCAGTTTTGTTCACAATAATGAGGTCAACGTGACGAAAAGTATTCGAAAAGATCTTATCCCTGTTTTTTTCGACGTATTGTTTAGCTGCGAATTCAAAACTTGAGTTTGAAAATTCTACGTTTTCATACTGTTGCATCAAGTAAATGATTGCATAAAATTTGAGATAATCTTTGACTTTCGATTTCTCCTAAGCTTCATGTTTACAAAAAATAAAAATTAACCTTGACCAGAATTACTGGTTGGTCATGAGTGCGTTTCTACATTCACCGTACCATTATTTTTGCGACAAAACACTTTCTCGCTCGAAAAAAAAATCAAAATATTACAGCCATAATTTGAAATACTTGATTAACCACTTTCGAGTTTCAATCGCGATCTAACGACTTGGAATCGCGACGTAAAGAGCTCACGCTATACACTTGTCAAAAAAAAGTTCGCCAACAGAATGAACAATCAAACGATGAAAAGGTCGAGAAAAAAAAGACTTACCGATTCCTCGCACATGAGCGACGACGCCGGCCAAAAGCAGCAGCAGTGGCAGTAGATCTAGCCACGACTTTCTCATCCTACCGTTTAATGCCAAGTGTCGTCGTCGCGGCGTATTATGGCACATTGAGGCGAAAAAGAAGCGACTGCGGGGCCGAGAGTGACTATCGAGTGTGGATGTGTGTGTATGTGGGTAGCGTCGCAGCAGCCTGATGCTCATTCTGCGACGTCGTCATTTGGGTACGACCAGTTGCGAGCACTGCAGGCGCGCTTCAATTTTATCCGTCCATAGGTTGCATACGCAGCATATACACTGGGACTGCATAGCTCATAAATTATTCATAAGTTATGCATGCCCACTGGAGCAGAGTGTGCTGCATTATGCTCTATATGGATTTTTATATGCTCGAGTCTTCTAGAGATTCGTGCCTTTTTCAAGCTGTGTTTGGATTTTGCGATTTTATTACGTCGACATAACTTTTTGCTCTTAAGGATACATTTTTGGTATAATATAAAACAATAAGGAAAAAGTGCACTGTCGTTTAGTGAAAAAAATTTCTGCGTATAATCTTTTTTATTTCTTGTTTTTTTTTCTAATACGAGTTTTTAGCTGAATTGCGATCTTGAGTTCTTGGGAAAAAATAAATTTTTAGACTCTAGCCCGACATTACGATTACTAGGATAACTTTTATCACGATTGTATCATAACATAAACTGATATATTTTTTGTCCTTTAAATAAACGACTATTCGTCGAATTTCAGCTTATGATAAGACGTCATAACGTATTTGCGAAAAAATTTTCTATAAAAAAGTAAATGTATCACCTTTTGAAACAAAAAGTTTACTATGCTACCGAAGAAAGATAACCAGATAAACGACAATCAAACTTCCTCTCAGCGTATCGATGTATCATGTACCGGTCTAATTTAGCGTGTAGTATACTCCTGAAGGTCGATTTAAGTCAAATGAGATTTTGGCGCCACAAATACTGAATATCTCTAACATTGTAAAAAAAACGTTGTACCAAAAAAGAAGGCTGTTCATGCGGTGATGGGTCGAGAGAGCAAAACGAAGAGAGATGAACAAAAATCACTGTTAATTTATTTGCCTTTTTCAAATGGCAACTCGTACAAACGGGCGTTTTTAAATCTCGAAAACGGATTGTAATTAAGGCTCGCAGACCTTACCATCGTAAATGAGAAAGTATATATATGCTCGGGGAGAGCTGATTATTGTTTCGGAAGACAATACCTAGCAATTATCAAGTTCACTCTCGATTCCTCTCTTTCTTTCTCTTTCTCTACGTGGCTCTCTGTTTGCGCTATAGCTTAGTATCGACGAGTCCTTTTTTACGATTACGCTTACCTCATTACTTTTTGAAAACTATAATATATAGCATTAGATGCGTATGATAATAACAAGCATTAGCAAAACAGTTCGCCTAAGAGCATAATACATTTTTCATTGGGTTTTGAAAAAATGATGATTATCCTTCAGAAGCGTAACGTATCCTAGCGGCACATGGGACTCGTGCAGTACGCTTAGGTAATTCGATGCGCAGCGGCAGCAGCTTACATCGCATAATACATGCACACGTGCACTTTGTCGAAGACGACGATGACGACGAGTAATATGCGTAATACATAAAGTATTATATATAAACTGCACATGCGTACTTTTGTAATAAATGAACGCACAAAAATAAAGAAATCCATCGCTTCATCATTTAAAGTTAGAGTTAATGAGTACTGAGTACTTCGAAGTCTTTTTTCTTTTTCTCTCTCTAGTCCACTGAAATCTTACGCATATTATTTTATTAAATTTTCATAGATGTCGATGAGATTTCGTTTTTTCATGTTATCGACTCTCAAAAAGTGAACTTGGCACGCAAGTTAAAGTTAAAAAATTGCTTTTTGAAGAGTTGTATGTGTTCAGTTTCGATAATTACCCTCATAAAAATTGAGAAAGAAGCGCGTTTAAAAGTAACTATCTTTCCAACTATACATTTTTTAATTAGCTCATTGACTGTAGATGTCGCATTGCTAACCCGCAAGCGACCATATCAACTTCGGACGATATATAAGGAAAAACGTGCTCACTTAGCTATTTATATGTGACTTTACTGGGCGGCAGCGGCTTAAAAAGACGATACTCGAAAGCAAGAGAAAATGGAATATACCATTTGGTAATGTGTCAAGACATCACAATTGACAATTATAAAATTTGTTTACATTTCTTGAAATTATATAAAGCTAAATAACTCAATCCATGCACCCAACACTTGCTTCATCATTAAAAAGCTGCTGCTTTACATCGACACCTATAGACGAGGTAGAAGATAGCGCGAGATGCGACGCGCAGCCAGCCAAAGGCAAAGTAGGCACACATAAAAACTGCAGCGAGTCGTCGTCGTCGTCGAAGTTGCGCACAAATCTTTATAGGCAACAAGCTGAGCTCAAGATAACGGAGACACATGTGTGAGTGAGCGCCAGCAGAAACGAAAGCTTATCATTCCGCGTTCTCCTTCCGCGCAGCTAGCAGCAAAGAGTAAAACGTTTTATTGAGTTTCTTGAACCTTAATGCCGGTAGATGTGCGAGGGTACTGGAAAAAATGAAGGCTTTATCGTTTTCCAGGGATCATGCAAAAATATAGCCTGCTTAGATAGAGAAAGAGAGAGAATTTTCGTTGAGCTCTCTCCTATCGGTGGACGGGGGGTATAACGCTCATTTCCCGTTTGGGATTTTTAATTTTTTTGACAACTTTCAATAAATATTTGATTGCACAAGTATGGGCAGTTTATTATCATTATTTTTTAAAGAACAAAGAATAAGTAGTATATATTTGAACGAGTCATTTGAATCAAGATTGGTAGGAAATAATACTTGGCAAAGTTTATTCTATGAGGTGTGAAATGTCACGAGTTATTACAAAGTAAAAAATTACACTTTCTCGTCAGAGTAACACACTTTTGGAATATTAGGGTCATAGGTAATACGGACTTTAAAGCATATTTTTAATTTCCTTTTCGGCAAGCCAAAGGCATAAGAATAGAAAAAAAAACAAACAAAGTACAAAAAGCTATTTGTCGCGGGGTACACTTTGCGGGTCTATGTAAACGGGCTGTGCGTTTGGATCTTCCAAATCTTTTGTGTACGTGGTCAGATCTATTTTCTTCGTCTGCGGGTTGTATTTGCGTTCTGTATGAAAAAGTTTCTTTCCGATGACGAGGTCCTCCATCTCGTTGTAGTAAGGTCGGCCCTGAGCATCCGTGCCTGACTGGACGGTTCGACTTCCTCCGCGACGACTTGTTACTGACATGTTGTTGTTGCTCGAGAAGAAGTTGTAGGAGCCGCCCGATGAAGTTTGCGTTCCTGCGAATACGGAATTTTCCGAACGTAAAAATTAGAACACGTTTTTCTCGCATAAGCTTTAAAAAATTATGTTAACGCATGTATCGGTGCGATAATTTTGCTAAAATTTCAATTGTTATTGTGACCGAGAATATTTTTTATGATACGTGACTCATGGTTCAAACTCTTTTATGATTCTTTTATATTTTATGATTGAACAAACATGCCGCTTTTCTCAATCATGAAAATGATGTTTGTAAAAATGCGTTTTTCTGAAACGACGTAAACAATGAGCATGCTAAATCGACATAAATTTAGACCTGAAATTCAGTCAAAATCCAAAGTCTCGCGCCCAAATTCCCTTATCTTCGTTACGAAAAGCGATGGAGCTACAAAATAATTTAAATAATAAAGCGTGAATAAACGATCGCATTATTGCGTCTTTGATGCTAGAACATGCGAGAATTCCAAATGAATAAATTTATTATAAAATATTTTTACCATTTTTAGCATTTTTAATAGCTTCAGCTACTCGCTTATTAGCTTGATCCAATTGCTTTTGAACATTTTTGTGAATGTTATCGTTCATGCGCTTGATGTCGTCTTCGATGCCCGTACGCATGTCATCGACATCGTCGAAAAGGCTACCAAACAAGCTTGATGGAACCGACGCCACCTGACTTTGGTAAGTGCTAAAGAAGAAAGAGTTTTTACTTTAAAATGAAATGAAATATATTTCGTTGAAGTTTGCCACGGGCTGAGCAAAACATTTTCATTTAAATTGAACTGGCACTCAACGAGTCACAAACTCATTTCGAAATGTCGCAATTGTTATTTTAATGCTCTTGTTGAAACTGCATCCGGTCAAGAATTTAAAAATCGAGTGTTGTCGAAAAGCAGAATATGTTCTTTCAGTATAAAATTTGATAAAAATACATTTTATAATTAAAATCGCATAATCAACATGTACGCAGTGCGTGGTAATAGTACGACAATTCGAAAATTTATTCTTTTTTCATTAAATCCCGTGTTTTACTTTCAATCTATTAGAAACTCGATTAATTTAATCATCGAAATCCAATGAATTATAAAAAAAAGAAATTAAACTCACGCCATCAGCAAGGTTGCTACGAAGAGCCAAGTAACCGAACCCATTCCGATTGCTTTATTACTTTTTAATTCACTTAGCTGCACTTGGATCAAAGAACTATCTCGAAAAAAAAAGAGTCACCGAGTTCTCTGCACCAATCAAATCAGTAAAGTCTAGCTGGCTACGTGTCCGCGTGTCAACTAAATACTTGGCGGCTAACAATTGCGGCTCATACGTTTGTGCATTGCTGCTGCTGCTGCAGGTGTATCGAGTATCGTTTCCGTGTGTGAGTCTCCTGTACGTCCATGTGTATACAAACACTCGTATACTGTCTCGCATTGCCAAGCTCGCAAAGTGTGTTGTATGCGGGTGTCTGACGTAGTCGCTGTCGTCGACGGTATTATATTATGAAATATATATCGAACGGCGTCGTAAATGCAGAAGAAAAAGAGTACTCGAGACGAGGAGCGGAAGAAAACTAATTGAAATTTTTACAATGGGCCTTTTAAACTGTGAAATTTAACATTTAACAATAGAACTTCCATGGAATCGCGCGCGATAAGTAACACGGCGTAGCACGCAGGGCGCAAAAAAATATCGGCGATGATGCCTCAAAAATACGATGACTCAATCGCCGAGGCTTACTTTTATTACCTTACCTATTCGTATGCTCTCGACTTAGAGCTTGTATATAGCTAAAGAGATCGAGTTTCCCCCCGCGAGGTCTTTCGAGCTTTGAGTCATAAGTACGATGTGCATCGAATGTAAATTATAAGTATCCTTACAGTCTTAAGAACGCATGGAGTAAGTTTCGAACCCTTACATGTACGTCTCCCCAAGGATTTTATTATGTATTTTCGGATCCTATAACTATAAACTTTGTGCTTTTTTGACGTTCATACCTTTTGCATCGAGGCAAAAGGAGACTTTAAGCTCCGCACTTGACCCTGAACTCAACAAACATATCCTAACAAGTAGCTGAAAACTTTTTACGTTACTTTATTATCGTAGTTTCGTTACCAGCAAGTTTTTTTTTCTCTATGCAAAAACGTCGAGGCAATTGAATCCGAGCGCGCACGTCTGCCCCGCACGAGTACAACGAAACGTCGGGAAAATTGAATTAGCTTTGCGAACACAATATACGTAGTTATACATTTGAAATACGAGTAATTTTAATCTAGTTATATAGTCGAAAGGTATTAAGCCCGTGACTGGAGCACGAACGAAGCTGAAAGAGCTCGGTCGGGACAATTCACATCAAAGTTGATTACAAGACTGCTGGAAGATTTCGAGTTATTTGCCGAGACTCGCGGGCATGGATACACATATCGGAAAAGCTAAATACATGTTTGGTGCAAATGCGATGCGCACGAAACAATGCATTAAAAGTATAAAATCGATCATCTGGCTGGAAAGCTCCAGTGTTTACCCGCGCGAAATTGCCTTATCGCTGGCTGCACATACGTATACGTACACGCGCGCGTCGCAGAAATAACAAACTTGTCTGTCTCTCTCTCTCCCTCTTGGTCACGCGGATTGTCAGTGCGAAATTTATCTAACTGACACATTCGCGGAGTGTCGCGCGCGCGGGGATATCGTATGCAATGCAGTAATATACGTATGCAGTACAATATCGAGACGCGATACGGTCGGCAGCAGCTCTCGCTCACGACCAAGAGGGGAGCTCGGCAACTGTTACGTATCGCATTATTTTCCCTATTATTGACAACGACACAGATTTGTCATATTTTCCATGCACGCAACAAGTACGCACGAGGCACGGAATTGTCGACTTGTCGCGAGAGAGGCACGCATAAAAGAAACGAGTTTTCGGCAGCGACTCGTAGTACAGAGCACATAGACGCGTAACGTTTGAAAGATTGCGCCACGATCGGCGCGGCCCGTTAAAAATCCCGAGATTCTGGTTTAGAATTATTTCAGGCAGCTATATTCCTTTCGCGGGGGCATTAAAAGTCTACTAATTTTCATCAAAGTCAGGCGATAATAAAAAGAAGCTGTTGTAGCTATAAAAAGCCTCCCCCTATATAAATCCTCGCACATATTATACGCAGGTAGCGAGTATACAGCATTCGGCGCACGGAGTGATTAATGGCGCGCGAATACGTAGCTGTATACATCGAGTAGCGCTAAAACACAAACAGCATACGTGCCATACGCGAGAACGGCTCTCTCGGTGGAATATAGCGAGCGAGGAGAGGTGTTAAAATTCGTCGATTGTATTCTCTCTCTCTCTCTCTCGTACATGGATTATGTGTAGCGAGCTCGCAACTATCGCGGCAAATGTGTAACTAATAACGACGACGATGACGACGACCGACGTATTGTATATAGGTTGGCAACTGCGCGAAAACCTCGCTGCGCATACGTAAGATTATTATGTATTTCTCTCGTGTGCGCGAGCTGCAGGTATATAAGGTACTGATCCTCGGGCAAGGCCAAGCGAAACTAGTTTTCTAGCGAGCGCAGGGCATTATGTGCGCGTGCAGTTCTCTCCGTGTGTTATATACGTGTGCTACGCTCGTATTTCCTTATCTGCCCACGCCCATCGCAAATCGTTTCTATGTATACACACGTACGAGTTTGTGTATAGCCCTGGGCGCGCAGGTAAGACGAGAGTTTTTATTAGAAATGAGCTCTGTTGCTCGGGGCCCCCCGGCCCTACCCGAGAGGCTCTCTTCCCTAACGGATGCGGAGATATTGTATACACATCGATACTCCCAATTGGCAAAAGTAGATCGAGCAGCGAAATCCACCTCGGCACCGCTCGCGAGTATATGAATCAAAAAATAGAGACAGCCCGACGACGAATGCGTTAGAGGCTGTTTTGCATAATGCATTGGAGCAACTATTGTGGGGGGGATATACAGAGTCTGGGCCGTCGAGTCGATCCACCGGTTTTTCACCCAAATAGTAGAGCAACCATCCATGCAGCCGGCCGCATGTATATTGTATACGCAAGCGTATTATTGTCCTCTTGGGCCAGGCTCTCTTTGCCAACGCTGCAAAACTGGTTTCACTGCTTCTTCTTCTTCTTCTTCTTTTCCTTCTTCTTTTTCTTCTTCTTTTCCTTCTTCTACTTCTTCTTCTCTTGCATTGAGTCTTACAAATACTTTATCATCGCTTTTAAAATCTTCTGTTGTACTTTTTCCTTTTCTTCCTTTTTCTCTGCCATCCTCTTTGATTTTATCCGTGGGTGCAGCAGCCTCTGCAACACCCCCTCTTTTACGCGGGCTGATTTTCTCGTGCGTACCAATGAATTATATCGAAAATTTAAAATTCACAAATGAAATGATCAAGGCCCTGGCAAAGGGCGGCCAAGTCGCTGTGTAAATAGAAATCAATCTCACGAAACATGGAGACTTTTGTCATCCATCTTTCGGGTCCGATCGATCCTCGCGCATCAATCACGCAAGGCTCGTCTCTCTAATATAGCTGTCTATGCAATAATGATACAACGCTCGGCTTTCCGGCAATTTGTAACAGTCGACTCGCTGCGTTTGGCCCCAAAGTTTCGCTCGACTATCCTGCAGCGGCACTTCATTAGGCTTCGATCATCAAACGCTCGTTAATTTTCACGCGCGATTCAGGACTCGGGATATCGACAAACAATTCCTCTTTTATTTTATTCTATTTTTTTTCTCTCGTTTCCACATCGAATATCAAAAAATCGTTATTGCCTCGTACATAAACGTTCATTAAATCCAAATTCACAATCGCACATACGCGTGTAATTTCGATGAATCAATACTCAATACACTAGCTGGACCAATAATACAAATTCAGAGAAAGCCCCGGAGGGCGCGCGACGTAATTACGCTGGCATTAAAACAACATTTACATTTACATCTAATGGCAATTCGGTTGCGTTGACAATGAGCCTTATCGTATATTAAGCGAGCTAAAAAAAGTCGTGAATCGTCGCTTTCACGCGCTCTTTTCATATTTAAAATTGTAGCCCATTCGTTCATCTCGCTACATATCACGTATGTATAACATTGTCAAGGAAACAGATGCGGTTTTTTTGTCCTCGTCTCGGTCAATTGAAAAGCTCTCGATGTTTGTTTCGAGGCGTCGTCAATTACGAGCGTCTTTTGTGCTTATACTCGCGCGCTCCAAACATTTCGATCAGTATTGTACACATTTGGCGTGTATAGGTTTCAATTGCGAGTCACTGATCGAACCCGAACGTCAGGCTGATAAATTCAATCGTTTACGTCGTTATTATTGTGCATCGAGCACAATATAGAGACGTCGTCGCGTTTAATTTATAATAATACATGCATCGATACGCCTCGAGTCGATCGAGTGCTGCACGCGGTCAATCAATAACGGCTCCTCGTCAGCCTCCTTTGTGTCGATGCGAGGAATATTTTTGGCGAGAATCGTCGAGTTTGCACGGCATGCATGCAGGCGTCGCGCCGAGTTAGAGCGCGATAAAAGCCTGGACTGACTGTCCGAAGTCGGAGTGTCGTCGTGGTCTTCTTTGCTCGCGCGCGCGTGTCGGGCCCAATAAAACTACACGGTCCCCTTATCACATGCGCCCCGGTATAGCCTCGCCTCGGGTCACGACGATCTCCTGTACATCGTGTATTTATACGTATAGAGTCGCCTGCGAGTCTGGCCCCTGGACGATCGGCAACCTGGCCGACTTCGGAGCTCTTAAAGAGACGCACGCTACATGTATAACCGACTTGCGCATGTGAGTGTACGTGTGTGTGTGTTGTGTATACCACAAGTGCCTCGTCAGCAGCAACGAGGGGCCCGATGAACCAATCGCGCGCGTTTCTTTCTCCGGTCTCTCGCTCGCGCGCTCCCTGCGCCTCCTTGCTTTATGCTGTAACGTATACACACGCTGCTTTCGTCGGCCGGTTTTGCTGTCGCTTTACACAACAGCAGCAGCAGCACCACCACCACCACTACCAAACACACACGGTACATACACACACACACACACAAGACGAACGCCGCGAGACTGTCGATCGTACCCGCGCGATTCAGTACCCGACTACCCGTGCGCGCGCGCGGAGCGCATTTTATGTACACGCATACATTAAATTTGTAGCTCTGTCTACTGCTCTCGATTTGTTGTTGTTGACTGCGGTGTGGCGGTGGTTTGTTTACTCGTTAGTTAGTTTGGTTCTTTAGCTGCTACATTGCTCGCGGCTCGTTCTTGTGCCTATATCTGTAATATTGTATACAAAACGATATAAAAGTGGTGCCGTATAGCGAGTGCATGAAATAAAACGATTGTGATGATGCGTATTATCGGCACGATGTGCGGCTCTTTATACAGTGTGTTTGTGCGATACGACGATGATTTGTGCCGCCGCTTCTTCTGCTGACCGAGAAGAACCTGTTGTACCTTCGACTCGTGCGCATGATATACAGGATTACTCGGCAGAGAAGACGATGATGATGATGATGATGCTTATGCCGCTGCTGTTGGCGCGAGTTGTTTAGCTCTCTCGTGCAGCGCAGCCTCCGTCTTGTCTGTGTGTGTGCAAACACAGCCGATACTCTGTATAAGAACGCACGCGATCGAGCGATATACGCGAGCGGGGACCTACGCAACTTTGGAAGCGCATCGACCTCTCCGCATAGTCCACGCATTTAATACTCCGAGCTCCGAGCGCAGTTCCTCGTTTTTAGCATTGGTGAGTCGATATTCCCCGCATTTATCTGCTTGTATGCGTATCTTTGGCCAATGGGACGAAATTCGGAGCATGAGTTGGCCATTCGAGCGTGTCATACGAGATGATTTTTCAGTCGAGGCTCCGCACTTCATGCTGTTCGCTACGAAGGAGACATATCCATCTATTCAGAAACTGCTATGTACACACTTGACACTACAGTACTACACACACACACACACACACACATGCGCGCGCGTATATGCCACGCCAACTTTCGCGTATTGTCGTAGCGACTCATTTGAATTTTAAAACTATATTCTTTGCTCTATACACAAACGTTCGCGAGAGATATTAATGTATGAATGTGTAACATAGTGCTTCGTATACATTACGGCCACGACTACACCTGCCAATCGAGCGACGAGACGTTCGCGCTTTTGATTTTTTCGTAATACCAGACCCAGACTCTATTATATTTGGATTATAAGCCGAAAACGTATGGTAAAAAGTCAACGGCAAAAAATCGACGCTCGGTGGAAAAAAATCGCGAGCAAGAGCGTGTAAAATGCTTCTTACATATACCGTGAGTTGTATCCATTGCATACATTGCCTCTAGGAAATAACCAGTTTCGCGCGGACGATCTGGCCTCCCCCTGCCCCTTTTCACCTGTGCATATTCTTTCGCGTGCATCGTTATTATCGTGGCGCGGGGCCCTTTTTTTACATTATTTCCTATAAAATTGCGCATGCGAGAGAGCTGCTATATGGGTATAATTTTGCGGGCTCGCTTGCCCGGCAACAAAACACGTGCAGCACTGCGCAAATCCGTCGTGCGTATCGACGCACGCTGTTTCGAGCGAATAAATTCCTCGCGTTGCAGATACATGTACCTATATACGTTCAACTTTTCCAACGGGCAGATACAAAAATTCTTTCTGTCTTTTTTTTTGTACACACGTACACAACGCGAAAGCCATGCCCTGTATCATGTTTTATATAATATACACGACATACGACTCGAGCGAGCGGGCGCGCGCGGGCGGATCGTCTGAGGTGAGCTTCATTGTTTCAAGCTGTCATCGTTTTTTTTTCTCGTCTCGTCGTTGTTTATGTTGACTCGGCGGACGAGATCAAAAAGAAATTCACTTTTTGAATTATGTGCGACAAAAATTAGAAGCGGCCAAGTCGGACGGTTTGTCGTCGTGTTATTGTAGTCGAACGCTTTTCACCGCAAGCGCATCCGATTCACGTGACCAAGGATACGATAGTAAAGTGAAAACATTTTATCAAGGAAATTAGTTTGAGCAAACGATAGACGTATCATTTATTAAGGGGATAATCTTAAACTTCCGTCATTGTGTACGTGTAACGTTACGAGCACATATGCTGGCATCGTGTGAATGTGTGAACGTACGTGCATGTATGTGTATGTATAAAGAGTATGTGTGTGTGAACATGTCACCGATCGTGATGCGCGAGGATTTATTATGTACCGCTATTTTTGTACATCGATATCTTCTTACAGTCATGCTCTTTTTTTTTATAAACTTTTACGATTGTCTCGTTGTCGCTGAATCATTCACGCGAACGCAAAGTTCAAAAAACCGAAATCTCGAGCCTGCTCTAATTAAGCCATTGCGATATCGAGCCGCGCGTGACATAATGAACCTAATGGCTGTTTTCTAATGGCTCTTATCGATAGCGGCTGAGATATCCAGCGAAAATTCAACGGTATTATCGAAGCCTGCCAAATAGATGCGTGTCGAGTTTAATAACGTCCAAAGCGTACACGCCTGCACGGAAAATCAAAGATCAAGATGTTGGTATAAGAATGCGCGCCAGCGAACAAGAAACGCACGTATAGCTCCGCATGCAGCTCGCCCAAGAGTCCGTGCAGTATTATATCTCCAGCGTATAAATCGGTTATTTTCTAACGGGCAACTGCAACTGCAACTGCACTGCACGCGCCTTATCTGCCCTGCAGAGTCTACTACGAGCTGCTCTTCGCGCTTAAATACATACTGCACTGGCTTTTCGAAGAGAGCTCCATCTCTCTCTCTCGGCTGCGAGAGCTAATGTAACGTCGTATATGACAAAGTTATCTCGAAGCCTCGACTCCACTCGGTATAATGTTATTTTATACGCGTCGCGCGCGCGCGCGCACCACTAGGAACGGTATAGGTGCACCAACGAGCTTTAACGTGTAAGTACGTATGTATGCGTTACGCAAACCGAAGCGCGAAGCCACTTCAGCTGTATAACTGACTGCGGCCTCTTATCGGTCTAAGCCCGTGTTTATCGGGCCGAAGATTAGATTTTGTCGTCATCTTTCGAGTCTTGGGGACAAAAAAAAAAAGAAAAAGAAATTAAAACGAGATACAAGAAGAGCGAGCGCTATGAAAAACTGCGAGGCTGCTGTGTAAGTTGCTTTCGATGCTACGCGACTTTTTTTTCTTTATTTCTTCACTTTTGTTTGGAGAAAGCGCAATTTTGTAGTGTTGGAAAAGTATAATACAAGAGGCGCGACCTTGCTCGCGTTCGCGAGATCATAATTATAAACACGTTTTTCGAGTGTAAATCGAACGTGTCGCTCAACTTGCTATAAGGATGCCTCTGCTTATAAGTCGATTAGCGTCTCCGACACGCAGAATAAAACATTGGAAGGTACAGTAAATCCGAAATTCGCGTTCTATATACACTTGTTACAAAAAAACCCCTTCAGTCAGGAGCGCTCGAGAGTGTCTAGCAGCTCTGAATCCACTTCGTCATCTTTATTAAGTGTACGAGAGAGGAGGAGATGTTTCTAACGGCTTCCAGCTGAAAAACAAATTTATCCTCTTGCTCTCGCGTCTCTTCGCTATATTAAAATCTCTTGTATGTATCTCTCTCTTTCTTTGCGCTATATAGTTTCTAAACAGAGACTCATTAAAATCATCGCATTCGAGCTGGCACTGGCGGAGGGAAAGAAAGAGAGAGAGAGAGAGATACATGTATTTATTTATATTGAAGCAAAATACTCTCTACATGCAACTCGCGCGACTATTGTCCCTTTCTTCTTTTACGAAGCCAGAGAGTGCACGAGCGAGTCGTTGTCGTCGTTGCTCGTATACTGTAGTAGTAATATACATACGCAATACGTTTGCTTTTTCTCCTCTCTTTATCTGTTGCGCTGGCTGCGTTGCTGCTCCTTTTTTCGCCTCGTCTTCTTATTTCGCTGCTTCGTATTTGTTTCGTTGCTTTGTCGCCCTTTCTCTCTTTCTCTCTGTCGCATGGGCTCGCTCTGCATCGTCTCCTTTTTGCTCGATTTTAATTGCCGCCCGCGCCATCCAATGGCTTCGCGATGCTAGTGCGGATTTATTTACTTTTTTTTTTTCTTCAACACCAACGTGCCGAGGAATCAATTTTTTTTTCCTTCGCTGTATATTGGCCTATTGCATACAAGACGTGTCGCTGCTTAGGATTAGCGTCGAGGTTTTGTGATCCGCGTGGGTGCGTTTTGGCGGGCGTGTGCGCCAACAGCTCCCTGGATTTGTCTCGTCTTTTGTAATATTTATAAATATACATGTATATGCACGCAGCGTCATGCTGATTCTCTCCAAGTATTATTTCGGCTAAGATGGTCCCGAAGGCATCTAACTTTCTTTGTTGCCCGTCATGCCCATTTCAGCTTTTTTTATCTTCTTCTTTTTCTCTCTCTCTCTCTCTCTCTCTCTCTCTCTTTCTTTACCATTCACCTTTGAGTTATCAGTCTCTATTTGCATACACACACATACACACACGGGCCTTTTTCATTTAAGAGCAGAGAAAGAAAGCTTATAGCCGCGTTCGTGTTTTTTGCGAGCACAATGCAACTTGTACGCGATCTATATGACAATGTATATGCTGCGCGCGGTCAATTGGATATTCACAAGGTGAACTTCCGGCCTTGCTCACGTGCATTATGGCTTCTAATATGTAGTGGCACATGGGTCTCGTGTAGTTTCGATTAACGAAAACTTATGAGAAAATATACTATCAAAACTGCTTTCGCTCTCCCTCTTTCTCTCTCTCCCATATGCTTCAGTAACGCGCGATAATGAACCGCTATTATATTTATTCATCAAGCATGTGTTATCTTTGTTAACTGAGGCACTTTTGTACATCGCTTAGCGTACATAACCCCTGTATCAAGCCAAGCGAAGAAAAAACAATTTTTATCCAGAAACAAAACGTACGTGCTGTAAAGTTTAGAGCCCATTCTCTCTTTCTTACTTTGATTGTATCCAATACAGCTACTTGTAGACTTCATCCTCCCACTCGCATGTCCTTTTTTTTGTTTTTTTTTTGTACATCGAAGAATCCCATTCCATAGATCTTGGACGTGCATTAGCGCGCGCGCGAGTGGAACCCGTTTCTTCGACTCTCCAATAGACGTTTGCATGTATCTAATCGTGTGTGCGACTTGCCTGAGAGACTAGAATATTTCATTCCGGGCGATTTTTGCGATTTGTCGCCATCACGGCATATTATGCGCGGAGAAAGCTTAAATGCCGCGTGGCTATTAGACGTTCTTATTATGCAGCTTCACGATTTCGCCTTCTTTTGTCGACATTGATTTTTTGTTACGTGGAATTTACGTGTCACGATTTTGTTCAGCGTAAACTGCGTTTAAGATTAACTAAAATCGCCATGTTGAGAGAGAGAGAGAGAGAGAGAGAAGAGTGAGATTGTGCATGTGTGTGTATACGCGAATGAGAAATAAGCTGCGATTTATTACAAGCGCCGATTCATCAAAGTCACGTGTGCGCGTAATGAGCTCGAAATATCAATTGCATTGTAGTTTTTCAGCGTCTAGACTCATGCACGCACACACTACGTGCCGAGTATCGCGACGCAAATTCTAATCCATACGCTGTAACAGCGACGAATTTCGATCGGAATCTCGATTCACGTTCGTGCATGACCTCGAGAACTGATGAATCAAAAAATAAAATAAAGAAATTAGCCATCTCAAGGTGAACGCAAACAATATCGATGATCTC